ACCGAGACTCAGATTTCCTCCCCGGCTGATACTTCCTACCTCTCCTACCCGGGGTACAAATTGGAACATTCATTTGTGCCGCGGGCGGGAGTTTGCGTGTACGTCAGAGAGGATATCTGTTCTCGTCGCCTCGGGACGCTTGAAGGAAGGGATATATCTAACCTCTGGCTGCGCGTAGACTGCGATGACCATCCGCGATTCTATGCATGCCTGTATAGGTCCCATAGCGGAAATACCGAAACTGACCGACTCATTGAGCACATCCAAATGGCTACAGATTCCCTGCTCGAAAGGGTTCCTACCGCTGAAATCGTGATACTTGGCGATTTTAACGCCCACCATGCCGATTGGCTCGGCTCAGAAACCACCGATCATGCGGGAAGATCCTTTCACGACTTTGCTTTGGCTTATGACTTGACGCAAATGGTCCCTGCGATTACGCGAATACCAGATGTGGATGGTCATAAACCCTCTTTGTTGGACCTTCTGCTGACTTCACATCCGGAGAACTACCAAGTCTCTGTTGAACCGCCATTGGGTTCATCAGATCATTGTGTGGTCCGGAGCATTGTGCCGTTTACGCGCCCTCTTCGGCCTAGCTTCACGGGCTGTCGCCGCGTGTGGCACTATAAGTCAGCAGATTGGGATGGGATGCGGTCTTTTTTGCGTCCTACCCTTGGGGGCCCATTTGCTTTTCGTCGAGTACTCCAGATGCCGTCGCTGACTCTGTCGCCGAGGTGGTCCTGCAGGGTATGGAACTCTTTATTCCATTCTCTGCGGTGCCGGTCGGTGGCAAGTCCCAGCCTTGGTTTAGGCGTTCCTGCAAAGCGGCTTTGCGCCGTAAGCGTGAATGCTTTAAAGCCTGGGCAGAAGCGGTGACATCCTGTGATGTGACTATCGGCGAACGTAAAAAAGCATACAATTCAGCCTCCAGGTCCTTCAAGCGAGAAATCGCTAAAGCAAAGTCAGAGCACATTGCCAGATTTGGTGAGAAATTGGCCCACCTCCCTTCGGGAACTCGAGCCTTCTGGTCTCTTGCCAAAGCTGTCCAAGGGAATTTCTGTCAGCCCTCAATTCCACCACTGCATAGGGAGGATGACTCACTTGCCCATACCGCGAAAGAGAAGGCCGATCTTCTAGGCTGTCTCTTTGCGTCGAACTCCACTTTGGATGATCAAGGGAAGGAACCACCGACATTATTGCGGTGTGATACTACGATGCCCGAAGTTATATTCCGGCAACGTGCTATCCGTAAAGCTTTGTCTTCCTTGGACATCCATAAGTCGAGCGGGCCTGATGGCATCCCTCCAATTGTGCTGCGTACTTGTGCTCCTGAGTTGGCTCCGGTCCTAACGCGCCTTTTCCGGTACCTTTACACGCTCGGCACTGTTCCGAAGTGCTGGAAGATCGCTTCGATACATCCGATCCCTAAAAAAGGCGATCGCTCTGATCCGTCCAACTATCGCCCAATAGCTATAACCTCCTTGTTCTCCAAAATAATGGAAACCATTATTAACAGCCAGCTCTTGAGGTATCTAGAGGGCCACCAGCTGATTAGCGATTCTCAGTAAGGCTTCCGTCGTGGTCGCTCGGCTGGTGACCTCCTTGTATACCTTACACATAGGTGGGCAGAGGCAATTGAGTCCAAGGGGAGGCGCTGGCGGTAAGTTTGGACATAGCGAAAGCCTTCGATCGGGTGTGGCACAGAGCACTGCTCTCGAAGCTTCCAGCCTATGGGCTCCCTGAGAAATTATGCAACTGGATTTCCAGCTTTCTCGCTGATCGGAGCATCAAAGTCGTCATCGACGGAGCATGCTCCGACCTGAAACCTGTGAATGCTGGTGTCCCACAAGGCTGTGTCCTATCCCCGACCCTGTTTATTCTGCATATCAATGATATGTTGCAGCTTAGCAACATTCATTGCTATGCGGACGACAGCACTGGGGATACTTTTTACACTGGCCGGGCAGGTATCTCTCGGGCTGTTGTCGATGAGTACCGGAACAAACTTGTGTCTGAAGTCGAAACTCTTCTACGTGGAGTCTCGGACTGGGGTAGACTAAATCTAGTCCAATTTAACCCCAAGAAGACACAAGTATGCGCGTTTTCCGCTAAAAAAACTCCCTTTGTCGCTACTCCCCTCTTTGAAGACACTCTCCTTAAAGCCTCAGCTAGCATCGGAATACTGGGCGTTGACATATCGAATAACGTTCAGTTTCGCGGTCATCTGGAAGGAAAGGCTAAATTAGCCTCCAAAAAGCTTGGTGTGCTCAGCAAGGCGAGACGGTACTTCACTCCGGGCCACCGCTTGCAACTATATAAAGCGCAAATTCGGCCCCATATGGAGTACTGCTCTCACCTCTGGGCGGGAGCTCCCCAGTACCAGCTCCTTCCACTTGACCGTATTCAACGAAGAGCGGTTCGAATCGTCGACGACCAGTCACTTTCCGTGCGGCTTGATCCCTTGGCGTTGCGTAGAGATGTGGGATCTCTCTGCATCTTCTACCGCATTTACCATGGAGAGTGTTCAGAGGAGTTGTTCGGTCTAATACCTGCAGCTGAGTTTCATCATCGGACGTCAAGGCAAAATACAAAATACCATCCGTATCACCTCGACGTCCGTCGTTCCACAACAGAGCGTTTTCTAAGGCAGTTTTTGCCGCGCACCACCACTATGTGGAACCAGCTGCCCACAGAAGTATTTCCGAACCAATTCGACTTAGGGTCCTTCAAGAAAAGAGCGTACCAATTCCTGAAAGGCCGGCAACGCACTTGCGAGCCTTCTGGCATTGTGAGTGTCCATGGGCGGCGGTATCACTTAACATCAGGTGAGCCTCCTGCCCGTTTGCCTCCTATTAAATAAAAAAAAAAAAAAAAAATTAAAATGTATAAGTCGTCTATTGTAAGTATGATATTAATTCTTTAGGTATTTAGTCTGAAACATAAATTATTAGTCTATAGTATATAGAGATGATAAATAAAAGAAGACTAGTGTTGTATGAATTTATTTAAATATTACAGAAATCATGATCTTATAATTTACATAAAACAAATAAATGCTCACAATAATAATTATTAAGTTCATAAAAAGCGTATTAAATATAAAGGAGAAAACCGCAAAAATATACCATAATTAACGATATCATTTTTAAAGAATTTCTAATTGCTGTAGAAAATATAAAGCTCTCAATGTTATCTATATCCAATTATGGTTATATTCTAATTACCATTTTGGTATATTTTACTAATGGCAATATTAATTTACTACTATCACTATACATGTTATTCATTAATTACTCGATTAGAATTGCTTTTCGCTAAATTGAATCGTGATTATAGAGAGATATAGGCCATAATTTATACGTAAAAAAATACAACACTAATATTTGACAGTGGTGAAAACTCAGTCAATAATATAATAATCATAACCTAAAACGAGAACAAGTAGTATGAAAACATTTAATACATATTTAAATATGTCATAATATATATAGTGGCAAACATAAATACGTTATAACTAGAAAAATTGTTATTTAATAATGGGGACATGTCACAGAATTTGTATGGTTATTATAATAAAATATTTTTTATTACGAGAACTATAAGCCAATACTTTAGGAATGTTCGTTTTATTATAGTGAAATGGATAATGCCTCATCGCAGCTAAATTTTACTAACAAATCTACCCGATGACTGCTACAAATGATAAAATGAGTATTTCGCAAAATTTCGTTTAAATTCCCGAGTATAGAAGGTAGAACAAGAAATATATAATAGGTACGTATTCCCATGCGTATACGTTAGGCGCACGTAAACTACAGCGTATACGTGCGTACGCTTTGTTCGTAGTTCTATAATCGAGACGTGAAACCTTGCCAGTCTTATGCGTTCGACAGTCCAACATAAATTATACTATCACACTGTATGTATGTCATGGATTTGCGATGCCACCTACAAACTACAGAATCTTCCAGATTCAAACTCATCTACGCTACAGTATACACACAGTCTGCTAGTCATAAGTAATATCAATCGTAATTTTCAATATGACGAAGATTACATTGACATACAAAAATAATACACTAATTAGCTATAGTATATTCGTTTATAGGTGATTAAAATGGATCATGAAATTATCATTAAATTAACGTCTAAAATACAATTTAAAATTGATAAATGACAATACTAGTAGTAGGGTTCACACACGTGCAAAACTCGTGTAAATCTTATTGTAAAGAACAAAAACCGTCACACAATTACTCAACAATTTTAATACATATAACAGTTAGAATTACTTAAAGCATTTAGTAATTTTGAGATTTAACTGTTGTATGTGCATTTATAATATAAAACACTGGTTAACACATATCAACATTCGTAAATAACAGCGAATTATTAAAACTATCCCCACGAATCAATATGGCAACATTAAAATTTTGTTGCCAATTGTAAAAAAAACAAATTATATTCACATTATGAAAATATAATAGATTCAATAAATATTAAAAAACCAGGAAATGACATTTCAAATTGTAATTTGGTGAGGATTTCAACGTATTGAAGCTACACCCCAATTACCCTGATAAAAAGTTTTACAATATTGTCACTTTATTCTAAGGGTACACTACGGACGTACGACCAGCATTAGGAACTAAAAGCGTGATTAATGCCGAGATTATGACTCATACACGAACGATTTAATTTCGCCATACAACCGACAATTTTACAAAAAACTGGTACGTGTGTAGGAAACAACCATTATACAAGTTTTAGGGACCAAATCAAAGGTCAAAATGACAGTGCGAATACGACTTAATATGCCGAAATTAGTGGGTATACCACAAGCTTCACAACAGGAATACATTGTAAAATGCACTTTAATTCTTAAGCAATAAAGATACAATCTCAAATGTTACCCGTTACGAGGCTCATGCTATAGACCCAGTCACGTATGAGTGAGATAATAGATGCCGTAATACGTATGTGCGAGTGAGAGAGCCTTATCTTTTAGACGAGCTCCTGATTTGTTGCAATTTAAGTCGTAGAGCATCTACAGAAGGTTCGTGTCTCTGGGGCATTGTTTGTGTCGAATGTAACTGTAAAATAAATATACAATGTATGACTTTTTAATTTAACAAAACATACTATGTTTTCATGATAATTTCAGCACAAAAAACTAAGTTTACTGAGATTCGGATCATCATTATCTAATGACAATTATCGGAATGTGTCATTTTTCCATATTCGCTGTATTTAAATTGCACAATATTCGTGAAACCTCTTTAAGCTGTATTTCATTCCACACATTGTTGACAATGAACCAAATATAACTTTGGTTTATATTTGTATGGAACACGAATAAACCAAATTTATTTATGAATATGGAATAATATTTTTACTTTTTGTAGTTTCTTAACTTAAATTCTACTGAATGTAACCTAAATGAATGTAATAAATTGTTAAGGTCATTTCCTAATAAATAAAAAATTCCACCCCTTTCCTTTATTCGCCAATAAAACACTTTGCTTTTTATTCTTAATCCCCATTGGACACATCCCACCCCATACATTGGTACTTTTGACTTACCTCCAACTGTGGGTCGATACTGTGTGTTCTAGGTAACGTGTTATCGTTGATGGTGTCAGCGAAGGCTCGATTATCACCCACGGGTGTACGAGGCTGAGATGACGGGCTAGACTCGACTTTCATGCCAGCTTTCATCTATAATTAATTTTATTAGTGGTTTACGTGCAAAGATAACAGAAAAGTTTTAATTGATTATAGATATATATATAGTATAGGGGATTTAAACGATTTTATAAATATCTAATACTTGCGTCGTATCCTAAAGATATAATTAAAATATTAAAAATAGATATTCTAATCAAATATCATTTATACATAGTATTGTCTTTTATTGACATCACTTTTACACATTTAAAGAAAACACTTTTTTACCGGATTGCAGTTATGTATTATTATAAATACTTTTTCTGTGTTACTTTTTGACATTCAACACCTTTTGTTTTCAGTCACCGTGACTACGCACGCGGTAAAGCACGCGAAACGTCGGAAAAATTTAAAATTATATAAAATACATAACTTCAATCCGGTAAAAAAGTGTTTTCTTTAAATGATTTATACATATATACAATAATACATACTCCAAATTGTTTATTTAATACCATATATTAACTAACGAATTTGGAAAAACAAATTATTTGAGCCCCAGCTCTTTCGTAACTTTTATGATAGTAAATAAATACGTACTAACTAAATCAATAAAATTAAATACGAATCCAATAATCAATAATATAGAACTCTAATCGCCAAGATTTTTTTTACAAAAGGTATGTAAGGAGCTAAGTCGTTAATACCTTTAGTGCTTGAAGCCTTTCAAAGAAGTCGTTGGCTGATTTTTCATCGTTTTCGTTTGTCACATCTGTAAAGTTTTACAAGTAAAATTAAGATTATTTAAATAATTACATATCTCATCATCATTCGGTGTGTGGGTAGGCGCAAGTTGAATATCGAGTAATCACAAAATAACCAGTTAAAAATAGTAGGAAAATACACAATGAAAAGTAAACATTGAGCTGAATCAGGAGAAGATATACCACAGGAAAACGTATCTGCCTCATTGAAAGTATAAACAAACAAATTTCACGTTTTAATTTGCGTTATTGTAACGGCGTAACTAAAAGTGCGTGAACAAATCTAGTGCAAGTGACTTAGAACAAAGATTTGACAATTTTGTTCATATTACTACATAAAAAACTTTGACTTTGTATTTAGATGTTGTGATGTAAAAAAAGTGTACGTGAGTTGCGGCGAGTTAAGAGTTCTCCTAGTGGGAGTGCCATGCTGTTGCCTTCGGGCTTCAGCCAAATGGGCAGGCACGACCGGGGCAGTACCACTGTCTCTCAGAAAACCGGCGTGAAGTGATGCAATAAGTTCACCTTATTGTACTCGCGTTTCGTGCGGTGAGAGAGACTCCCGGAGCCCCCCCTCCCCATGAAATATGAAGGTGCAGAAAAAGAGAATCTACCCCAGGGGGTACCACACGCGCTCGCGGTGGAGAATCCCCCTCTGGGCGTCCAACACCGGGACATTCAGCACCCGGTGGTGGACGCACAGGCTGCCCTTCGTATTCTGGGGGGGGCAATTCTGCGCTCAACATCAAAAACAGTTATCGTTCTCGGGGCAAACGGAGCAACTCAACAAAGGCACCCCCGTCCACGCTCGCTGTGGACTTCACAAATGTTAGGGGCTCAATTCTAATATCAACGCAGTCCACTACCATTTAGAGACTGCGAAGCCGGCCTTGCTCTTTCTTACCGAGACTCAGATTTCCTCCCCGGCTGATACTTCCTACCTCTCCTACCCGGGGTACAAATTGGAACATTCATTTGTGCCGCGGGCGGGAGTTTGCGTGTACGTCAGAGAGGATATCTGTTCTCGTCGCCTCGGGACGCTTGAAGGAAGGGACCTATCTAACCTCTGGCTGCGCGTAGACTGCGATGACCATCCGCGATTCTATGCATGCCTGTATAGGTCCCATAGCGGAAATACCGAAACTGACCGACTCATTGAGCACATCCAAATGGCTACAGATTCCCTGCTCGAAAGGGTTCCTACCGCTGAAATCGTGATACTTGGCGATTTTAACGCCCACCATGCCGATTGGCTCGGCTCAGAAACCACCGATCATGCGGGAAGATCCTTTCACGACTTTGCTTTGGCTTATGACTTGACGCAAATGGTCCCTGCGATTACGCGAATACCAGATGTGGATGGTCATAAACCCTCTTTGTTGGACCTTCTGCTGACTTCACATCCGGAGAACTACCAAGTCTCTGTTGAACCGCCATTGGGTTCATCAGATCATTGTGTGGTCCGGAGCATTGTGCCGTTTACGCGCCCTCTTCGGCCTAGCTTCACGGGCTGTCGCCGCGTGTGGCACTATAAGTCAGCAGATTGGGATGGGATGCGGTCTTTTTTGCGTCCTACCCTTGGGGGCCCATTTGCTTTTCGTCGAGTACTCCAGATGCCGTCGCTGACTCTGTCGCCGAGGTGGTCCTGCAGGGTATGGAACTCTTTATTCCATTCTCTGCGGTGCCGGTCGGTGGCAAGTCCCAGCCTTGGTTTAGGCGTTCCTGCAAAGCGGCTTTGCGCCGTAAGCGTGAATGCTTTAAAGCCTGGGCAGAAGCGGTGACATCCTGTGATGTGACTATCGGCGAACGTAAAAAAGCATACAATTCAGCCTCCAGGTCCTTCAAGCGAGAAATCGCTAAAGCAAAGTCAGAGCACATTGCCAGATTTGGTGAGAAATTGGCCCACCTCCCTTCGGGAACTCGAGCCTTCTGGTCTCTTGCCAAAGCTGTCCAAGGGAATTTCTGTCAGCCCTCAATTCCACCACTGCATAGGGAGGATGACTCACTTGCCCATACCGCGAAAGAGAAGGCCGATCTTCTAGGCTGTCTCTTTGCGTCGAACTCCACTTTGGATGATCAAGGGAAGGAACCACCGACATTATTGCGGTGTGATACTATGATGCCCGAAGTTATATTCCGGCAACGTGCTATCCGTAAAGCTTTGTCTTCCTTGGACATCCATAAGTCGAGCGGGCCTGATGGCATCCCTCCAATTGTGCTGCGTACTTGTGCTCCTGAGTTGGCTCCGGTCCTAACGCGCCTTTTCCGGTACCTTTACACGCTCGGCACTGTTCCGAAGTGCTGGAAGATCGCTTCGATACATCCGATCCCTAAAAAAAGGCGATCGCTCTGATCCGTCCAACTATCGCCCAATAGCTATAACCTCCTTGTTCTCCAAAATAATGGAAACCATTATTAACAGCCAGCTCTTGAGGTATCTAGAGGGCCACCAGCTGATTAGCGATTCTCAGTACGGCTTCCGTCGTGGTCGCTCGGCTGGTGACCTCCTTGTATACCTTACACATAGGTGGGCAGAGGCAATTGAGTCCAAGGGGAGGCGCTGGCGGTAAGTTTGGACATAGCGAAAGCCTTCGATCGGGTGTGGCACAGAGCACTGCTCTCGAAGCTTCCAGCCTATGGGCTCCCTGAGAAATTATGCAACTGGATTTCCAGCTTTCTCGCTGATCGGAGCATCAAAGTCGTCATCGACGGAGCATGCTCCGACCTGAAACCTGTGAATGCTGGTGTCCCACAAGGCTGTGTCCTATCCCCGACCCTGTTTATTCTGCATATCAATGATATGTTGCAGCTTAGCAACATTCATTGCTATGCGGACGACAGCACTGGGGATACTTTTTACACTGGCCGGGCAGGTATCTCTCGGGCTGTTGTCGATGAGTACCGGAACAAACTTGTGTCTGAAGTCGAAACTCTTCTACGTGGAGTCTCGGACTGGGGTAGACTAAATCTAGTCCAATTTAACCCCAAGAAGACACAAGTATGCGCGTTTTCCGCTAAAAAAACTCCCTTTGTCGCTACTCCCCTCTTTGAAGACACTCTCCTTAAAGCCTCAGCTAGCATCGGAATACTGGGCGTTGACATATCGAATAACGTTCAGTTTCGCGGTCATCTGGAAGGAAAGGCTAAATTAGCCTCCAAAAAGCTTGGTGTGCTCAGCAAGGCGAGACGGTACTTCACTCCGGGCCACCGCTTGCAACTATATAAAGCGCAAATTCGGCCCCATATGGAGTACTGCTCTCACCTCTGGGCGGGAGCTCCCCAGTACCAGCTCCTTCCACTTGACCGTATTCAACGAAGAGCGGTTCGAATCGTCGACGACCAGTCACTTTCCGTGCGGCTTGATCCCTTGGCGTTGCGTAGAGATGTGGGATCTCTCTGCATCTTCTACCGCATTTACCATGGAGAGTGTTCAGAGGAGTTGTTCGGTCTAATACCTGCAGCTGAGTTTCATCATCGGACGTCAAGGCAAAATACAAAATACCATCCGTATCACCTCGACGTCCGTCGTTCCACAACAGAGCGTTTTCTAAGGCAGTTTTTGCCGCGCACCACCACTATGTGGAACCAGCTGCCCACAGAAGTATTTCCGAACCAATTCGACTTAGGGTCCTTCAAGAAAAGAGCGTACCAATTCCTGAAAGGCCGGCAACGCACTTGCGAGCCTTCTGGCATTGTGAGTGTCCATGGGCGGCGGTATCACTTAACATCAGGTGAGCCTCCTGCCCGTTTGCCTCCTATTACATAAAAAAAAAAAAAAAAAATACTGCATTATAGTCGTCTGATTTTTTATTCCTTAGAATTCTGACATTTCATAAGTGTTGCTACTAAGAAAGTTCTCCACCGAAAATGGGACCCATATGATGAGGGCAATAAAAATAAAATGCTACGTATTTTTTATGTAAATATTTAGATTTACCTACAAAAAGGTAAATCTAAAAATATTTCAATATCTCAAACAATATATCGAATTAACTGTAATTACTTTATTTTATGCTTTAGCTGGCATCACTGCCTTCTAATTCCAGGTTTAGTAAACCTTAAAAAAAAATATTATCTTTACTTGTGCGTTTTTTACTGTTTGTGATGAAAGGGGACGCAATTATCACTCGCCGTAAAACCACTTTTAATATGAGCACCGCATTTAATAAAATATATACATTTACTAACAAATAAAATGTATGTATAGATTCAAGATGTTCAGACTCGTATTGAAATTGAAAAATATGCCCGGCTAAAAAGGTTTGTAATCTCTGACATGTCAAAAAATTATAGCTGTCAGAATTCTACGGAATAAAAAATCAGAATATAGTCACTTTTTGTTTACGTCGTCGTCATAGAGTGGCGTAGCAGATGAATCTGTTTCAGGATGTCAATGTAATGGACAAGTTATGGGTCTAAGGCAATCTGGTTTCCTTACGATGTTGACCTTCACCGTTCCATCCGGGAATCGAACCTACGACCTCAGGAATAAGAGTCGCAAGCTGAATCCACTTGGGAAACACTGCTCTTTACCCTATATACATCCTAAGTATTGTTATAGTAATGATTTACATTTTAGGCAAATATTCAAATCTAGCAAAACCTTTATTAATTAAGAAACTGATTAAAATCACGACTGAACCTCTAGTTTTTTGAAGTAGGTTAAAAAGGACATACCAATATGCTCAGGTTTTAATTCTGGCTTGTATATTTTGTGCGTGCGCATCTTTCGCTGCTCAGCCACTTCCGCTAAACCACATTCCACATAGTTTCGGAAGTAGAAGGATGACCCGGCCATAAATGTCCAAATATCCACTTCCGGGTGACGTTCCTAGAAATATGTATTTATTATAATAAATGTTATATAGGTGCTATAATTGTGACATTGATCAAATGAAACTAAAAATGCTATAGTTAAATAAAATAATTTATGTAAAATACGTTTAAATTATCTTAATTCCCAAATAATAAATAATTAAAAGGCAACGTGAAATAGACAAACTCTTTTTTTATATCGAAGTTTAATGACAGTTCAAGACTTGTTAATTTATTTATTCATTTACAGTATATATGCCAAACAATAGATTGTGACTAAAGACCCATTTAGGTGGAGAGAGTTTCTCGCACGTTTTGGTGCGAGAAATCGTACGCGATCGCCAGCAATAATCGCCATAGCATTATCGTATCAAAATGTTTACATACAGGCGAGAACTAAATTCTCACCTACGATTATGTCATACGAGATTCGCCAGGTATTTATCGCTAGGCGATAATTTTCTGCGTCTGTTTACACATCGACATTTTAGTAAGAAGATTCTTACTTACGAGAAACTCGACTAGTATAAACACGATCTCGTATGACATTTTTTATGTTCACTTCATGCGAGTATCGTACAAATCGGTTTGAACCGTTTTAAGTGCGAGATGTTTTATTAGAGTTTAGTAGGGTATTGTTGTAAAATGTCACAAAAATCCTTTTAATTTTGGGGCTGCTTTTAATATTAAGTTAATTGAACTTTATAGAAGTTACGAGAGTTTGTGGAACACTGAAAAAGAAAATTAAAAAAACCCATTTTTAACACAAAATAGTTTTTCCGTTTCCGTTTAATTAATTCTTGTACTAATAATTAAAACACCCTCAAACACTGCACTCATGGTAGCAACTGGCACAAAACCTCGAAATACGATTATTGCTTTTGAAGTTCTGTTTACACAGACACAATAAACTTTCCAATGAGAGGCAATTCTCGCCAAAGTGGAAGAGCGAGAGGTGTTAATGTTTAGACGAAGAAACTTTTTTATATTCCTTTGATAATCGTACATTCGAGACGAGAAACTCTCTCCATCTAAATGGGCCTTAACTCATATCAGAAATACTATCTGGGTTGTCTGGAAGAAACAGCTTTTAGCAGTAAGACCGCCCATTATTTGTCTTGTTTTGTGTTATTCTCTGAAAACTTGCAATGTAGTAAAACAAATAAAATCAATAGCCAACAAAAACTCACCCGTAAATCGTAAAGCTGAGATAATGCCTCCTTATTGGTGTCCTTGGAGCCGATCCTCTTCAATATGAGCCCCAACTCCTCGTGTACGGACCTGGGCAATCGTCCCGCCGTGAGGGCACTGTTGCCCACATTCACGCCTAGGCTCTGAAGACCGTTCACGTCCGATTCCTTTTTGTCTTCCATTTTTATTTGTTGTTGCTGAAAATGACATGTTATTAGTAAGTTTATTAGGAAATCTATAGTTCATTTTCGAGAAACCTATTCTCGTGGCTTAGGCGTGCGACATTAATCCGAAGTTCGAACTCCGAATGGACTTTTTGAATGTGCGCATTTAATACTCACTAGTACGGTGAAGGAAAACATCGTGATGAAACCGGCATGCCTTGGACCCAAATAGTCAATGGCGTGTGTCAGGCACAGAAGGCCAAATCAAGGGTTGTAGCGATACTGGTGTTTTAAGTGAAACATAATTTTGACATATCATTTATAACAATTGTATAATTTTAATTGAGCACTCAAATTTTTAAATCAGGCTGATCCTAAATAGTGAAAAAAAAGCCAAAACTTTTAATTTGTCAAATTGTGTTTACATCAGTGCTTATGTTCAATTAATCAATGAAGCAAAATACGTTTATTCAGTTTAGATGCGTCTTAGGGCATGCTTATGAATGTCAAAAACGTTTACAAAATTCGCGAAAGAGCAATTCTACGCCATCCGTTCGCAAAACTACCAGGAGGCCTTGTTCTGAGAAGAACGGGCAAGAAACCCGCAAGTTTTACCCTCCCTCTGCATTACAATTATTTATTCAAAGGAAAATGTCATAAACCACAACGTCATTAAAGTTACATAAGTAAAAAAAATCTGTTCTGTGATGTACGGGTACCACAATTACCATTACACACATATTCACAACACTTCAAAGATAACAAAACAATATAATTAGAACTATTGCCAAAGGTTTTTGTCTTTTAAAATAATATAATATAATAAATCTAATATATAAAATTCTCGTGTCACAATGTTCGTTCTCATACTCCTCCGAAACGGCTCTACCGATTCTTATGAATTTTTTTATGCATATTCAGCAAGTCTGAGAATCGGCTACTATCTATCTTTCTAACCCCTAAATGTTAAGGGTGGTCCACCCCTGAAATTTTATTTTTATTTTTTAGATAATTTTTTTTGTTATTATTTTTGCATGCATGATGCAGCATACAAAAATACATACAACTCTTAATTTTCACCCCTCTACGATCAACCCCTACTTTTTATTATATAGTAGATAGTTATTTTTATTCAACTAAAAAAATGTTTCCTAGAAATAATATAGATGTGGCAAAACAACTTTTGCCGGGTCAGCTAGTAATTAATAAATTTTTAAATACCTTCAATATTTTATGTAAATAGGGATACAAATCCGACTCGTGAATATCTGGTATAAGTGTGAGATGGTTCATTATGGACGCTCCCTTTGTTTTCACAAGCGTGTGTACTAGAGTTTTCACTGTCCTGTAAAAAAAATACAAAAAACATTAAATATAAGAACATCTCGTCTCGCTCAGTTCGTTAGCTGTAGGTAGAGATGGCAACTATTTTGAAGACTTTATAAAGTTTTAAAAAGCGATGAGTAAAATAATTTGTAAATAATATTTTATTAAATACAAAATTAAAATAATTTATTTTTATACGCGACATAAAAGCAACCACATATTAGTCGAATCGACGGTGTAAAAAAATGTATTTTAAATTATTACACATTCTAGATTTTTCTATAATAAAGAACGATAAATGATCTAAGACTCGTATCCAGATATGGATGACGGTGATATTGCCATAACATACCTGTAAGGCGTATCACTGGTAACTTGGGCGTTCTTCTTCCAATAACTATTAGGAAAGGCTTTGTAGAAGAGATGTATTTTGTATAAGACGGTGTCGCAATCAATAGAATTGATATCCCACGATGGTATCATTTTCAGAGTCTTCCAGAAGCATTTGAGAAGTAATTCTTGGTACCGGGTATAGGCGGGGTCCGATTCTGCTATCGAATCTTGTAGAAGTGATACTAGCGCGCTGAAAATAACAATATTTTGTATGTTAATGAAAATTTACTAAACATTAAACACTAAAAACTCTTTCACTATTTAATTATATCGTTTGTATAGCATTTGAATGCCCAGCCTGTGTCGTGTCGGTTGCTTATTACATTTATATATAATGACTATAGTACCCTTAATAGGATATTGGTAGGTAGGTATTTAGATTACAAATTTTCAACGTATTTTAAAAGACTCCTAACTTTAGCGCAGTGTTTCCCAACGAGGGCCTCCCGTCCCACAGGGGGGGCAATTTCATTGTTAAGGGGCTATACCAAAATTTATTAAAATTATTTTGAATTTAATTGTTTCCTTTATTTTTTATTATGTTTTGAAAATGTATGTAATTCCAATATTTAACACATGTAACCCATTTTCAATTTGTGTTAGGAAATAACTGAATGAAGCAATTGTTACACCTGTAAAAATGTTAATTTCTTTTCTTACTTTACTAATCTTAAAATTTTTATGCAGAATATATTTTTTTTTACTACATATCGAAACATAATAACTGCAATAAAATGGTTACCATAGCAACGCAGTATGCGGCGAGTGTTCTAGCACGCACACGCACAGATTGTTGAGAATTCGTGTGAAGCGATCGCTGTCTGCGCCGTGAGTGCCTTCCGTCAGTACGAGAAGGAGCTCACTTATCACCGAACGGAGGGCCGCTTCGTTCACTTGCATGCCGCATCCGGATGTCTCGTAAAACTAATCAAATCAATTTGGTTTAGGGAGCGTTCAAGTATTACGTAACGAATTTTGGGGGTGGTCCTTTTGAAAAACGTTAGTTTTACTATAATAGGTACTTGGGTACAGAAAAACGTTACGGCGCGTTACATGGGGGAGTGGTCAATAATCTCCAAAAAATTGGGTGACGTAATAGTTGAACGCTCCCTTAATTACATGGATTTAAAAAAACTACTTACTAGACTACAAATACTTGATAGGTCCTAATAATTATTTTAAATTTATAACTATAAATTCAGGTTTTCGGTACATATAGCATTCGTTTTAATCATGATAAACAATCTCCTTGTCAATAGGTAAGTTGAGTTTTGGCTGGTGGAACAATGATACAGTCAATCAAAAATATTAGATACAAAAATAGATAAAACTGGCCTTATTTATTTTATTATAGCTAAAATAAAAGGAGAAAAAATAAGGCATGTGAAATAGCGAGACAAAGTTAATATTCATAAACAAGTATAATTACCGTGGTAAGTGTCCGTGCCAGGCACTTAAAGGCGATGGGCGTATTTTCGGACGCGGGCGTAGTACGTAGACGTCTCAACTGCGTACTGATCGCGGTAATGAGTCGAGATTCGTGAGCCGCAAATGCCGCACCACGCCCAGACTCCAATGCCGACGATATTAGGGATAACGCCCTATATGCCGCCTGGAAAAATGTTTAGAATTGACCAAGGCATATACAGGGTGTCCCAAAAGTCGACGTCAAGTCGAAATTTTCTCATAGGTAATGCCACACCAGTTATCAGAAAAAAAAAAAATAAGTCATGTATTTTTGAAGTTATGGATATTTTTTTGTTATTCCAGAAAATGCACACCATGTGACAGTTTTTTCATTCCTGTTGTTACAAATAATTACTTTTTGCCAATTTTTTTTCTCTTACGTCATCCCGAATAGTGCTTTATGTAACCTATGATCCTAAACCCTGTGCCGATCACTCCAACTTGTAGGAAAATGTCATTTTATACCGTACCAAGTTTTCAAAATTAATTTTCGCACTACTTCAACTGATCGTCCTGAAAAAAAAATGTATTACTCCAGTTTGGCTAGTAGCTTTAAAAGTTAGCGCATTTAATAAGGATTCTACAGCGGTATAACACTTAGTGCATTATTTCTTAGATCGGCCATAAGAATTTTTTTTTGTTAAACAAAGTCTGTTTTTAACAATCTCTTTGAAATTACAACAACAACACTTTACGCCATCTTATTTAAACCACGCTGTGGTTATATTGGCACGTCGAAAATCCACGATTGATGAGACCAGACAGATCACAGTACCGTTTCAAAGTTAACATGTGGACTGGAATTTTGAACGGAAAAGTCATAGGGCCTTTTGAGTTACCAGAAGTTTTAAATGCTGAAATTTATTTAGATTTCTTACAAAAATCATTTGCCCAATTTGCTGGAGGACGCCGCTTACTATTTTACGAGATATGTGGTTCCAGCAAGATGGTTGTCCAGCGCATTACAGCCGCTTAGTTCGAAACCACCTTAACGAGGAGTATCCAGACAGATGGATAGGGCGGGGTGGTACAATCTCGTGGCCCGCCCGCTCACCCGATTTAAATCCTCTTGATTTTTTTTACTGGGGAGCAGTAAAGGAAAAAGTCTATTCCAAGTCGATTCAAAATGTAGAAGAGCTTAGACAGAGAATAGCGGAAGCAGTAGAATTTGTGAATAATGGACGATTTGCCCGCTTCATTTCACGATCTTTTTTAAGGAGATGTCGAGCCTGTATTGCAGCTGAAGGACGGCAATTTGAACATCTTTTATAAAAAAAGTAATAAATCTAATCATAAAAAAGAAACTGTCTATTTTACTTATTTGCGTCCGTATGTCATAAGCGTCACTATCTGTCTCGCTCACATTTTATGGAATGTCTCTCTCCATCTTATTTAAACCACGCTGTGGTCATTAGGAACGTTTTGGGTGCGCTAGAATCGTTTTTTGTAATTCCAGAGAAATTTTTAAAAAACAGACTTTGTTTAACAAAAAAATTTTTATGGCCGATCTAAGAAATAATGAAGTAAGTATTATACCACGTTAGAATCCTTATTAAATGCGCGAACTTTTAAAGCTGCTTGCCAAACTGGAGTAGTACATTTTTTTTTCAGGACGATCAGTTGAACTAGTGCGAAAAAATTAATTTTGAAAAACTTGGTACGGTATAAAAATGACATTTTCCTACAAGTTGGAGTGATCGGCACAGGGTTTAGGATCATAGGTTACATAAAGCACTATTCGGGATGACGTAAGAGAAAAAAAATGGCAAAAAGTAAATATTTGTAACAACAGGAATGAAAAAACTGTCACATGGTGTGCATTTTCTGAATAACAAAAAAATATCCACCGGATTGAAGTTATGTATTATTATAAATTTACAACTATTTAACATAATTTTAAATTTATCCGACGTTTCGCGTGCTTTACAGCGTGCGTGGTCACCGTGACCACGTGACCGTTTCAATCCGGTCAAAATAGTGTTTTATTAAATGAATAAAAGTTATGTTAATCAAAGACAATATTATTATTTTTTTTAATTTTTCTGATAACTGGTGTGGCATTACCTATGAGAAAATTTCGACTTGACGTCGACTTTTGGGACACCCTGTATATTATATATTACATAGGTAAATTTATTAAAAAAATAATATGAGTTCAATATGTTTTTAAGATATCAGATAGTACCCTTGATTATGTGACTATGTATTTTGTAAATGGCCTTACATCTTGAAAATCAAACACGTATTATAAATATATACTATGTGTAGCAATGAACATATTTCCTTATCGTTCTGATGGCTTAGTATTTTTTTTCTTTATTTTTTCCCTATATTGAAATATGATTCTCCAAATTTTAATACATTCTAATTAATTAAAGTTCAATTATTTAAATGTTTCCTTTAAAATATACATTTTAATACAAGCTTTTAGTATTTCCTTACGTTTAGGTCCGGGCTAGCAATGGAGTGTACGGTGTTCGCGATCTGCGAGTCGTCAACGGCAGTGACCAAAGGCTGTGTGGGGACTAACGTATGTGCCTTGACTGGCTGCCTGGGGGACATCGCTACCACCGAACTGTAATTTATGAAATGTACCTTAAAAATACTGTATTATCTAATATAACAATTTATTGCTTTAAAAAAAACTTGATACCTCTATTTAAGCCAATTTATTTTAATATGTTGTACTATATCCATATATTTCTTGTTCATGTTAGTATGAGTGTCCTACACCACAGGAGAGAATGCATTGTGTAAAATATAGTTTACAGGGTTTAATTGAGAATAGAAATAAAATGATTTGCTTTCTTTTAACTTTGTTTCTTCTGTGCTAATTTCAATATAATTGTTTAAGAACTTAAGAAGTTTCTTTTTCTTCCTACTGCATATAGTCTGATTTTTAATTCCATAGAATTCTGACTAATTAAAGTTAATTCGATATATTGTTCGTAGGTAAAACCTAAAAAATACGTAGGATTTTTTTATTGCCCTCAAATAAGTCAAATTTGTCCCTTTTTCCGTGGATAACTTTTTTAGTATAGGTCGGTTATCGAAGGCTGGCGCGTTCACAGTACTCACACTTATGCAATTTCACTATACAGTATGTTTGAAAATATGACTTTTTGCCAAGCTATATATTTTAGTCTACTCTGGTTTTAGTAAGGTTGGGTGGGTTGTAAATAAATAAAAATGTGTCAAATACATATCAATATTATGTGCATACGAGGGTGGATCCAAAAGTTCTAAGCCCGACCAAGAACGTAAAAGAGTAGTTTGTGTAAATAATTTCTCATTTTTCGACATAAGCTCCATCTAGCTTAGTGTTGCCCAAAATCGGTCTTGGTCTTGCAGTCTTGGTCTTGTTCTTGCATTTTCGCAAGACCAAGACCGCCTTATTGTAGCAATACCAAGACTGAAGCCTGCATGACTTGAGCAAGACAATACTAAAGCCTGCAAGACTCTTGCGTCTTGCAGTTAAGACAAACTGAGATTTGGGCGTTATTAAGTAGGTATTTGGTTTCAATCCCGATTTTGAGAGACGTTCCCCAGTATTAAAACCGTTGGTATCGTCATAACACTAAACATGCCGCTCGTCTGAAAGAACACTGAAAGGTATTGATGAGGTAGGGAAGTACTTATTATTTTCAACAATTTATTAAGTAGGTAGCGATGAGTAATACTCACAAATCTGTTACCATCATCCCATGTGATAAAATTTACCCAGAATAACTTTCTAGCAAAGATCATACCTTGTAGGTATCAACTAACCTATAATAATATATTATGCTTGTTTATGTCTAATGTGCAGATCTAACGTTAGTACTCGTAGGTTGGTATGTGCTTAAAATTATAGCCAACAAAATTTTATAAACATTATGTAGGTACCTACTTATGTTTCAAAGTTTATATTATTCTTCTATTAAGCAAAATTTATAACTAACTGCTAGTCGAGTAGGTCTAGTAACAGTTTCTACGGCAGCCAATATTATGGTACAGACGCCAGCACATCAAGCTACTACAATCTGTCAAATTTCTTTAACAGATTTTCAACTTTATCGCTAAAGAATTAAGGTTCAAGGTTGATTGGGAAAATGTGACGTTCTGCGAATAAACTGTTGGTTGGTCGGTCGGTGTATTATATACCTACTTATTTGATAATTTACCGACAAAGAGGCCGCGGTTTGCAACGAGTGTATCACAGCATTTGACACTGTTTGAGCGCCGCATTCGCCGACAAAGAGTCCGGACAGAGGCACACAAAATTGTTACCTATTTTGGTAGGGTTGGTACAGGAGGATAAAATTAATTAATGACCTTGAAGATGTCTCAGCAGTAGGTAGGTATAAATTGAATGCTCTGAGTTTCTTGTATTTAAATACATTCTCACACTGGCTCGAATTCGAACACTATAGCGTTTAAAGCTGTCGGGCGAGATGATAATTAATAACTAAGTAGGTATTGCATCTATTGAATTGCGAATATTTTGATTTCGAAATAATCATTGTTAATATCAATAAATGATAGATAGTGAGTGATATACCTAGGTACTAAAATGTAAGCAGCATAATTGAAAAGTGTTTATGCCATGTCAGTGCTTTCCATAAGTTTATTTGAAAAAAAAGGTCTCCAGTAAGATTTAGAGTTTACCATTCAATTACACACAACAAATTATTGAAAAATATATTTAGACGGAGTACTTAGGAAATTAGTAGAAAAAATATTCTATCGTGGATACCTAGTTATTAAAAAGTTGATAAACGTTGTGTTTACTTAATTTTATTTTTCTGTGCTAATGCCAACATTGACAACCCTACCAAAATAGGTAAAAATTCAGTCCGCTCCTAGACTTTGTGTCCCCGCCGTCGCTTTCATGTCAAAGGTCGCCGCCACTGCCCATGTCCCAAAGAATAAAATAAGTTTCCGGGTGCTCAGAACAGACACAAATAGATTATGTTGTCCTCGCAAGGAAGATTGTAGTCGTAAGGATAGGTAGATATTATAAAAATTGTTGTAAGTAATATAAATATAGTTTATATGATTATTATTATTACCTATTATACCTTTTTTTAAAAGAACATTGCACTGCAAAATTGGAAGTGGGTGATTTTAACAAACTTGAAACGTGGAAAAGCTCCAAATATGAGCGACGTCATATTGCTTTACGCATTTTGTTTTAAAATCACACCCTTCCAAAAATCGAAATTTGCAGTGTCGATTTATCAACTTCTATCGTACCTACTCTAGTAGCGACTATTGTCTTCAGCGATGATTTATTAAATAAATAAAAATAATCATCGTTATTTTTCTAAGGAATACAATTTTGTTGAAGTAGGTACCTACATCGTTTCTCACTTACACATACTTTAACGACTGTACCTACGTAGCAAAGCGCGCCAGTCACGAGTAACGACAAATTGCCTAAAAAATTTACCTACGCACACTGTAATGAAATCTGCTAATCTCAACACACACGCACTTCCTTATTTTGGCCGCATAGGTAGCATAGGATAGCCCGCCAAACTCAATTTTTTTTTTGCAATTTGCAGGCTATTGCTAGATTGTTGATTAAAATATTATTCGCGCTGTAAGACGTATGTAGTTACAGAGTCAACTACATACGTCTTACAGCGCGAATCATAATAATCTAAACTAACGTGTTCAATAAATAGCCCTAGTCTCGCGAGACTTGCAAGACTCTTGCTGCAAGACCAAGAGCGCAATACCAAGACCAGGTGTATTGACGCGAGACCAATACCAAGACTGTCCTAAGTCTCGTCTTGGTCTTGCATTTGGGCAACACTAATCTAGCTCAACACGCTTCACTCTTACTTCACTAACAATTCTTTCAATACTCCAATATATTTCATAAGACATTTTTTTCAAAGTATTCTAACCTCCAACCGAATAAGTAAACAATCACAGACAAAATAATAATGAGAAAAAAGATCAACATGTACAGTAAAGATCAACATAAACAGTAGCAAAAGCAAAACAATAACCTGTCTCTTTTATACTCATAAGCTTGACCGAGCGCGAGAGGGACGGACAGCCTTTTCATGATGCATATTCAGTTTGACATCGAACCTCGCGCTTATTCTCAGACACTACACAACCACAAAGTGTAAATGTGTTGAAGCCGCCAGCTTTTGATAACATACCAATAGCAACATTTATGAAATGTCAGGTGTAATGTTCTACGGAATTAAAAATCACAGTATTTTATTGCACGGTGTTCGCCTCACGCGCACATATAATTTATATAAATCCTTTTCAATTTTAGTTAAAGAAATATAACTATGTTCTTAAAGGTAAGCGCGCATGTGCCACAGTTGTTACAGTGTACTTATTCTGTGGTTACGGAACTGACGTCATATGTCCGGAGTAGGGAAGTAGTCGTACTGCACGTTTTTAGACATTCTTAAGTGAAATAAAAAATAAAATAATCGCGAATTTATTACATTATTAAAATGTATTTTCTCAATCTTTCATCGTTTCAACTCTGGATGTCTATTTTAGACGAAGGCCCAGCGTTGTATGTATAGTTGAGGAAAACAGGCATTCCTCAATTAGTTAGTTTTAGGACGTTTTTTAATTCTTACCTTGGGGCACACGTAGTTGTGACCATTCTCATAGGTTCCTCGAGGAACTTCAGATCCATATCCGGAATATCCGCCCTTCGTAGAACCGGCTTTTCCGCGTCCAGTCGCGCTAGCAAATCTGGGTTTAATCCATACGGCCCGGTTATCGCTCGTGGCTCCTCATGACTACAAAAGCAAGTGGGCTATGTCATTTTTTTATTTTGTTTCTGCAGACAAATAAGTCTGCAAATACCTCTTACTTGCAGACTTATTTGTGTATTATAATTATAAAAGAGATTCAAATAGCATTTTCAATATGGATACCAAAACATTTAAATACTATAGTATTGTCTTTGATTAACATAACCTTTACACATTTAAAGAAAAAACTTTTTAACCGGATTAAAGTTATGTATTATTATAAATTTACAATTAACCTCCATCTTTTAGTCGATACCAACTACGGGGAAATAAATACAGATAATGCAACTTTCTCTACAGCTGTGATACTTTTTGACATCCAACACCTTTTGTCTTCAGTCACCGTGACCACGCACGCTGTAAAGCACGCGAAACGTCGGATAAATTTAAAATTATGTTAAATAATTGTAAATTTATAATAATACATAACTTTAATCCGGTTAAAAAGTTTTTTCTTTAAATTTAAATACTATTCAGTGGTACTGAAGACTTTAAAAACCATTTCAAAGTTTTCATAGTCAATAGAATTGTCTATATTATTTGTTTGCAAAGTGTTAACTTAAACAAACAAAAATTAATTCATAACTCCAAAAACCACGAGAGGGCGACGCACCAGTCCCAATGACGTACCATGTCAGTAAACGCGTAAACGAAGGCAAGGTTTTTACGTGTTTATTATCATTCTTAAATTACACAAATACAATATATTTCGATCAAAAGCAATCTTCGACGAAATTAAAGTTCAGCGCAGTATTACGATGCCAGGCGTATATAGACATATTTTTATAGACATTACATAGATCAATTAATAATTGATGTGAAACAGCTATAACCGCACGTAAAACCGATTTTTGGCGTGGCGACACATGCCGTGGCGACGCGCCACGCTATATGATGGTCTATATGCAGTAGTGTGTACGGTGTGTGTATTTCGAAGTCACTGATTAAACAAATTAAGTAGTCACGATTTGAAATAAATTCGTAAATTTTTGTATTTAATAAAAATAAATGTTTATTCAATAGATAGTCATCGTTATCTGGAAAAAAATCGTAATATTTTATTTTATCATTATGACATATTTAGTTCCTATCACAATTTGTCCTTTCTGCATATTACTTTTACAAAATAATGTCGATGTTTCACATCTGCCAGGCGTCCCGTGACGGCTCACATTTTTTATTTACAAGTTACACTTTAACCCTTTTTAATACAGATTACTCTCAATCAACTGTAAAATAACCCCTTTTATTTTATAGTGGTATTTTTTTTATAACCATGGTTACAAACACGGTCTTTAGTCGACATTATATTTCTAAAACCCCACCTTTATATACTAGAGCAGATGTATTTAATAGAAACACAAAATTCTTAAAATATCTGTTTGTAACTTACTGTACGACAGGTGGTGGAAGTTGCTCCTCAGGTTCTTCATCTTCATAGTCATCTCCTGGTGTTGCCTCTACTGCGATCTCTTCCTGGATTTCCTTTGGAAAAAAAAACATTACATTTTAATTCAAATTGTATATATACTACACAAAGCTATCGGATTCAGAAAACAAAATATTATAAATAATTGTTCTGTCTTATAATATTTGTTATAATAATGTCGTATAATAAGGTCGTCTTAGGGTGAGATCTATAGTGCGCACTTAGACTTTGCTCTGACTTAACTATCGAGCTAAGACACAGTCGGTATTTATAGAGCAAACTGCGAATCTCTCCCTAGTGTTGGCTTAGCTTAATCTCAAGTCCACGAAATCGACGACTTACCAAAAACTTTGACTATAAGCCTAACAAAAATAATGGCCCAAAATTTGCTTTACCATCATATCTTTTACTGGACTTTTTATTTTTGTCGGTTTTTAATGAACGGTGTTGCCATTTTGTATCGGAGTTCCATAGACTTTGGGAAAAATAGAATTTGAATTCAAAGAAATTATAAATGATCTTGATAAATACCTATGAAATGCATGAAATAAAATAATTACACATTATTATGGTATTTATTGTTGTTTATTTATATTATTTATGTAATTGTTCAAACCCCATTTTTTGAGAAATCTTAAAATAACTGGTGTGATTTTTGTATGTCACCTGGCAGCCCTGGCATATTATAGTGACAACGAAATTCAAACTATAACCTAACCGATGTCTCTCGCTTCACATCTGTTATTTTCGTTTCCCTGAATCTTCTACCATTTATTACCTGACTACCCTAAAAAATTTGAGATAGGAGTGGAACATATGAAATTAAAAATCTGTTAGAAATAGAATTTCTTCAACAAAAATATAAATTAGTATTAGAAATATGTATTACACTTAAAAAAAGAATCAGAAAATAAATGATTAAAATGAAACAAGTTTTGTTTTGATATTCTTTATTACCAAACAAATTACTTAGTTAAATTTGCAATCACAGATTGCCGGAATGCTAGACCTGTAGGAGATCTTTCATTGTTTCTGTGTTACTCAACTTCTGCTGTCAGCAAGATCACCATCATCATAAGCATCGCCTCTCTGTATACCTATATTATGCAATACAGCACAAGCTATAATTATATATAACTAGTATTTGTCAATTTTGACTGTAGTCCTAGCTGTAAACATGGAAATTTCCTTTTTCACACTCCGAAAAACCTTTAAAAAATATGCCTAGTTCTTATTTGAGAATAATTATAAATATTGTCAGCTCTTGTCATTGGATTTAAAAGTGTTGTTAACATGAAGTTAAGTGCTGGATAACCGTTGTCACCTACTAAAACAGGCATTTTCTAAATATCCTGCTGTCGTGTGAACTGCCAGGCCACCTAGTCACTATAGCAAATATTTCCATATCAGGCCCTATTATTGCTTGCACATTTACAGAAAAATACCCTTTTTTATTTCTGTATGCTTCAGAGTGAGCGATACCTTTGGGTCTATTAATTTTTATATGGGTGCAGTCAATAGCTCCGATTATACTGTTAAGGCCATGGTGAGTATAAGATCTTCCTAATTCTTAAAACTTCGTTTTGGCTGTGTTCATATTTCTTGGAAAATTTACTCAACTCTGCAGAGACTTTATTTATAATTAAACAGACTGTAGATTGGCTTATGCTGTTCAGATCACCACACACCATCTGTAATGTCAATAAAGTATTATTAGTCACATATATGTTATGTTTCTGAAAGTCAGAAGACAAAAGTCTTCAACATATGTACTATTTAAAATCATATGAGAAGAGGTATAATATATCAAATTGAAAAACCATACATATTTATGAACACAATATTACCTGAAAACATCCAGTTGCATTTTTATGCCTTAATGCAATAAGTATTTGCAATTGCGGTAGGTTTGGCGATCCTCTGTTGTTATAAGGTTGCAAGTTTGTAATGATCAGCGTCAGGATCACATTTAATACCGTGTGTTTCAAAATACGGTTCCTTCTTTTGAATTCATTCTCACCGTACAGGATGGAAGGATTTTGGTTTTATTAGTTCCGAACATATACAACACTTTAGGCATTCGTGGATTCATATCGGCTGCAGTTCCTACCCTTTCAATGTTTTCTATTGAAGATAGAACTCTCTCTCTCCATCATGTCACTTTCGATATTGATATTTCCAAGCGGTCCATGTAACAAAGCCAAATCACAAAACGTCACAGTGCTTCGGGAATGCGTAGGTCTTAAGTAGGTATACGATCCAGATTGGTCCAGGTCCAAGTCACAAAGCCAGTCGTTGTTTTGAAGAAAGATCAATTTAATAAATTAAAGTGGTTTAAAATTTTCAATTGTTGATAGTTGATACAAGTGCTCTGTTGCTGTTGTCAAAACATTGCGATCCGTTCTACGTAATAAAATTATTGTCATCTTTAAATAATTAATACATTTTCTAAAGGTTACTCGTGAATTTCTAGTTATTGCAATAATAAAATAAATGAATACATAAATAACAATAAATTGAAGATATATGTGTACCGTTTTAGATTTTTAAATATTTGTTATTGTTAACTTTTTTTAAAGGATAATAAACAAAGTATTGCATGAAATGAAACATCAATTTGTATTTTGACATTTTCTGTCTTAGCTTGGGCTTAGCTTAATCTCACCGTTAAAATGTCTATAAATACGAAATCATAGTTTAACCTTAGTGTACACTAAGCAAAGTTTTTCGTAAGGTAAGTCTGAGCAAAGTCCAAGTGCGCACTATAGATCTCACCCTTAGCGTTTACTTCACACAATTCGTTCGTTACAATGTATGAAAATCTTATTCTAAATTTTGAACTTAAAAGCACGACCATAAAAATGTTCCAATCCAAATATCTGAAAAAACGCTAATAGTCCGGTCAATCTAGACCAAAAAATGAGAGTGAAGGTACATAAAGTCCCAACAAGCTGAAAATCTGTAAAATTGTTCAAAACATAATTATAAATAATATTTAAAACTTCCCCATCATTCCCGTTATGTACCTTCGAAAGTCTAAATTGACCGGAGTATAAATTGTTGCAAAAACCAGTACATTAAAAAGTTTTAATATTAGATATACACCAAAACGAAACATGATCGTAAGGCGTACGAGTCCAAAAATTTAGTGAAGGGTTTATTATGGTATAGAATTCTTTACCTCAGGTGCTTGTTGTAATATGGGTTTTCCGCAGGCCGAAAGCGGTACCACCATAGACCGACGAGCTTCTGCGCTGCGAGTTTTACTAGCGCGTTTTATTCGCTCTTCTAGAAGTGATAGATCCTTGTCTGATATCTGAAAGTGAGAAAATGTTATTATAATTTTCTATACTATACAAAATTTAAATCTTAATAGAATAAATATAGTCTCGTATTTCGCTATGTGCATTAATACAATATTTTGATCACAACGAAATTCAGAGATTACAGAAAAATCATTGTAAATAAAACTAAAGCTAAATTAAATATAACACTGCTAGGAAATTACTTATTGTAATGTAATGGCGAGTGTAGTATCAGTTTTCCAAAACATCACAAAAAAATTGATTACTAATTTAATTCCGTTTGTTTATTGAAAATGTTATGCAATCATTATCCAATCCAAATAATTTTTTACTTCACCAAGATCTATCTTCTACTCTTCTACCTATCTTTGAATGTCATCATACTCAGTCTCAAAATATCTTTATTCATGTAGGTAAACAAGTACACTTATGAATCGTTAAATTAATTGTAAATTTACATTTACTACCAGTTCGCAAGTCACGGGCGTAGAGCGGGTAAGAAGAACTGGCAAGAAACTTTCCGCCACTCTGTTTAATCACCAAGTATTGTCATACAAATTATTTGAACTGGAGCAAATCAATCCCAAGAGATTAGGATCATTTAAGTAGTCCTCAAATTTATAAAAAGCTTTATTGATTAATTTTCGTTTAACGAGGGCTTTGAATTTATTTAGTGATAATTCTCTAATTTGGTTTGGGAGTTTGTTGTAAAAACGAATACAACATCTTTATACGAAGACCGATAATAATTATTTAGTAATTTAATGTAATACTTGGTTGCGAGTAGTTTATTTTTTAGTCATTTATAAAATGATACCTGTCCAATAGTCTTATAAATCTTCTCTCCATCAAGGAAATAGGCGGTAGTGACGCAGTTCAGTGCGGCCGAACGCACGGAGTTATCTCTGTCCCCGATGAGCCTAGCCATTTCCCTTAAGGCCGCGCCTCCACCACCCCCAGACATCACCGTGGATCCGTATGTTTCTAGTAAATGGTTTATGCAATCCAGGCACTCTGAAAAATTTTATATGTGGTAAGTCGTGTATTACAGATGGGAAATTCTTATAAGACCGGCAAGGGAGCGTTTCCATAATCTCCAAAAATTGTGTGTGCGTGACGTAATACTTGAACGCTCCCCTACGTACTTGCGAGCCTTCTGGCATGAGTGTCCATGGGCGGCGGTATCCCTTAACATCAAGTGAGCCTCCTTCCGTTTACCCCGTTATATAAAAAAAACTAACTCGCGTCTCAAGTTGCAATCTCGTCTTGAGCGCTGACAAATATGTAAAAACTTTATATAGACAAAACGGTTGACAGCAACCTAGAATTAAGTTTGATTGACGTTCTAGAATACGGGCCTTAGATGTAGATGCCCACTAGAAAAAGTATGTAAGTACTAAATCCTTGAAACTTAACAATATTTAATGCTCTACCTGTTCTATTGATCATTTTATTGGCTTACGTCTACCTGGGCTTATTTTGCCAACGAAGCCACAGAAATAATAAAACAAACCTAACTATACTGCGCTTAAATCATGCCATACGTACAACTGCGTTTTACAGTAATCACAACGAAATATTTGGTTTGTAAAAATTGGTCCTTCGAGCCGAATTTTTTTATAGATTGAATTTAAACTAACCGGCTCTTTGTCTAGCGTTTTTAGACTTCAATCCCTCCATCAAGTAGCCAAATAGTTTCGTTACTGAGTAAACAATGCAAATCTGTCTGAAGAGATCCTTAACGCCATTACGTACTGTATCTTTAGGGTCACCAACCTGAAATTATCAATTTATATGAAAATAACATAATATCATAACTACTATATTAAAAGTATATCTCATATATAAAATTCTCGTATCACAATGTTCGTTCCCATACTCCTCCGAAACGGCTCGACCGATTCTTATGAAATATTTTATGCATATTCAGTAACTCTGAGAATCCGCTACTATCTGTCTTTCAAACCCCTAAGTGATAACAAAATTTTATTTTTTAGACAATTTTTTTGTTTTTATTTTTTAGACAATTTTTTTGTTTTTATTTTTCTATGATACAGCATACAAAACTACATACAACCCCTAATTTTCGCCCCTCTTCGATCAACCCCTATTTTTTATTATAGTAGATAGTTATTTTATTAAACTAAAAAAATTTTTCATAGAAATAATATACATGTCAAAAAAAACGTTTGCCAGGTCAGCTTACAAAATATATACCTTTAGAACAAGATATGGTATGAAGCAATTTGCCTCATATTCCGCCATTGTGTAATCACTATCAATTAGGTACTGAAATACTTGGCTTATGTACTCTAAGCCCTTGAGAATCACTGAAGGGTTAGTGTCAAAGAACCTTAGTGTTAACCACTTGAGTACTAAATCGAGATTAGCAGTCAGCGCTGATCCATTTTCGTGGAGGTCATCAGAGAGAGATTCTATTGCTTTTAAGTGATACCTGTAAAGAAAATGGTCTAATAATGTTAAAATACCCTTAAAAATTAGTTTGTAGTTAATTGCACTGTTTAACCTTAAGTACTGATCAGTCTCTTTTAATCATGCGTAACTAATAATTATGGCATTAAACTGATTTAGTTGTATAATCTCTAAGTAAACTTAAAAATTAGTCTATTGTCCTTATTAACTTGAAACAGTTTGTGATTATAGAAAAATAATTGAAAATTTTTGATTTTTATTTTTAGTATGGTCTTTTATTGACATAACCTTTACACATTTAAAGAAAACACTTTTTTACCGGATTGAAGTTATGTATTATTATAGTATAATATATATATATATATAGTCAATACCAACTCCGTGGAAATAAATACTGATAATACAACTTTTTCAACAGCTGTGATACTTTTTGACATCCAACACCTTTTGTCTTCAGTCACCGTGACCACGCACGCTGTAAAGCACGCGAAACGTCGGTTTAATTTAAAATTATATTAAATAATTGTAAATTTATAACAATACATAACTGTAATCCGGTTAAAAAGTTTTTTCTTTAAATATGTAAAGGTTATGTCAATAAAAGACAATATTAAATATATTTTTTACAATGTATACCTAAAATCGTTGTGGAACATATTCGCAATAAGTTGCTTGTTTAATCCGGCACTGTTCATTTGATCCTTCAATAAGTCAAAGAATTCCTCTCGCGGCGTCGTGAAATTCCATTTCAATACTGTAAATGAACAAATATTTGTGTTCTTAACTTTCGATATTTTAATCTAGGACGAAGTTGTATATGTAACAAGAATTTCGACGTCTTTAGTCAAAGTCGCTTAAGCAATGAGGTAACGTAGCAAAAAGGTGTTTTTGTTTCAAAGTTTGAAACATTCTGTGTCCAGTTTATGTTTACACCACTAATAAACGCAGGCTGCAATTTCCCCGTACCAGACTATCTAAAGTTAGTAATTCTTTTTTGGGAAAAGGGATACTTTTCTTTAATAAAATCCTAGAGGCTCTTTTATCTCTGCCTTTTAATAAATTTAAGAAATGTATTAAAGAAAAGCTGTGTAAAAAGGCTTACCACAAAGTTAACGATTATCTAGTTGATAAAGGGCCTGGGACTAGTGCTAGACAGGCTACTTCTAATTAATTCGCGATATTTGTTTTAAAATAAGTGTTGTTTGATGATTTGCTATTTTAAAAGAGTACCGAGAGTTTTTTACGCCGGCTTTTTCTCTCGGCCGACACCCTCTGTTTTTTTGCCGATGAGTAGAGATGTCTACCGATTCAAATTTAATGACGTGGAATAAGTTATAACTGCATCTTATATTCCACAATAAACATATTTTTTCTTAAATGTTAACTTAATGTTAACTTTCTGTATACAATAAAAATAAATAAAATTCATTCGAACTTATTACAAAAATATATATCGCAAAACACGTAATTGTAAACAATAAAGCTTTTTTCCTTCCTTATTCAACTAAAGAACTAACTGACGGATGCACCAAATCTTTCAGTCTTAGGTAAGGATCTAGGATTAATCACCGTCGATACTGAATTCAAAATATAGATTTTCATAAATCAGCGTGGACCTTACCTTTTAATTTCTGATCATCAACAATCCTCTGGTTCTTAGCATTATTGTTGGGTAAAAGCGGTGTGCAATCGTCTTCCTCTTTCTTCCCACGATTTGATGCCGACGATGGCTTTACCAAGCTCTAGGACAAAAAATAAAATTAACATTTCTTATATTTAATTGAAGGTTGTGGCTTATGTACAACATTTCCATGTAATAAGTTGCAATTGATAGCCTAGCGGTCTTATTAAGTGGCAGCTAGGTGAGGGGTACCGGGTTCGATTCCCGGTTCGAGGGCAAGTTTTAATTTAATTTAAATTTGTTCTCGGCCTTTGGGAGGGTTGTGCGGTACCGGGCGAGTGCTTAAACCGTATATGGAGGACACGGTCGAATTTCTAAAAGACAAGCACGAATTATAAAAAATCCTATACTTGACGCTGGCTAATGCACATCACATCGTGCCAGAGCCATAAATAAAAAAATTAAAAAAAAAGTTGCAATTGGTTACTATATTCATATTACTTTTTTTAAAACTATAATAAAGTAAGAAATAAAATACTACATTTAAATACAAAAAAACTGCTGAAATAATGATTGATGATTAGGCGTACCAAGGCATTGTTTTTCAAACTCGTACATTAAATATCAATTATTTTAATAAAGACTATTAAAGCAAAAAAATGGCAAAAAGAAGTAAGGTTTGATTTAATATTTAGGCCCCAATATATTAGCTTACTTAACTACGAACTACTGGTTCAAATTGGAAATTTATCAAGGAAAGCTTCGGGCTATATAACATCATGATACAAAATAATAAGCAAAAACGAAGCAAATAATTTTCTAAAATAAATTACAATAGCACTCTAAGCAAGTCTTTCTTCTAGTCTAGTCTACATTCTTACCTTGGCCTTGGTGAGAGTCCCTTTCTTTTCAACTTCTTTCTTAGCGCCAGCGGATTTCAATGCTCGTGGGTCACTCTTCCCCTTTTCCTTAGTGGGTAAAGGTTGTACTGGCAAGTTGGGCCTCGCTTTCTCTAATGCCGCTTGAACAACTGATTTTGATCCCGGCTATAAATAAAAATCTTTCATACTATAACAAGTATTTTTTATTGCGATAAATATTTAATATTAGCAAAAAAGGAAAGATATTTAATAATAACTTTACAATTCATGGTCTAACAATTACAATAGATTAAGATTCAAGTTTATATATATATGTAATGAAATGATATTTCATTAATTTGAATTTGACGAGTTACAAGTTGTCTGTAAAAGTTCGTAGGGGACGCGTCGGAGTGACGCGCGATTAAATGGCGGATGAAGTGCAGATTAATTTAGTGCATTGTATTGTAAAAAGATAGATTAAAGGATAAGTGAACATTAAATGTCGTTTCTTTGTATTTCAGGTGATCCTTAATAATATTCCTTATATAATCTATATGGATTCGCGATAAATAAACATTGACAAATCAATTGATTTACCAATAATTACTTTCATATATCTCTGTATAACATATTGCTTCTACTAAATATCGCAATGAGCATAAGAAATTGATGATTTTATGTCTGTTTATAATGGATGCCGTTTTTAAACTCTTGATAATTTTTATATTTCGTTCACAGTAAATTTTAAAACATTAAATTATTAATTTCCTATGCAACTAGCGCCATCTATGCTTAGCACGATCTGTTCCTAACTCTTGAAACCACTAAGAATAGTATACAAATATTACCTTGAGTTTATCGACTTGTTTGTGCATTGCTTCGTATCCGAGGTGCAACATAAAAGGCAGTACGCACTCTGCGGCGGCCTTCCGGACGTCCGCGGCGCGATCTTCTATACACGCGAATAATATTGGTATGCATACAGACAGCTCTTCTCGGGGGAATGATTTTGGTGGTACTGAAAAAAAAATCATAACATTTAGCATGATTTATTGCTTTTGGTTTACTCAAGTTATGTAAATAATGTAATAAATTCGCGTTTACATCCTTCAAAGTTGTTTTATCAAAACATTTCGCATGTTTTTTTGTCGAAATTGCTTGACGCCAGCACTAGAACGATGTTACTATCGTTATGAATTGAAACATGCAACACACAGTGGCGTAACAATAGGCAGGGCTGGCAAAATTCCACGGGCCCCCCCGTCCCAAGAGGGCCCTGCCCAAGAGATTTGTTCTATGGATGTGAAGTCTCCAGTACGTATTGGGCCAGAGTGGGGACTACAGACTATTCCCTTTCGCCTAAGAGAGGAGGCCTTTGGCAGACATATACAACATGTAATTGAGTATTTTGAAAAAGTTTATTAAAATTAAACTGAGTACAACGTGACGATTTTTACTGATAGGACCCCATCAAAAGTATTTGCTAAGGGCCCCAGGTGGTATAGTTACGCCACTGGAACACACCAAACGGTGCGATAACAAGATTTTGCCTTTATTGAAAAAGTGATTTATTAGCGTATTTAGTAGCGTAGCGTAGTAGCTTTAAAATAAATGTAACGTAAACGGAATTGTATCAATCTGAAATACCTACTGAGTGCTTTAAATATTCATTCTTTTGTCTCATTTGGGAAATGATATGACAAAATATCACAACCGTTCACACAATAAATACGAATATCCAAATAATTAACAATTCTTTTAAAACCCTTCTAAACAGAAACTTTTCGAAAAAAGTGATTTATTAGAGTACGTGGCAACGCGCTTAAAAAGTTCTAGATTTAGCCCGCGAAGTTAGCACTAAACAAAAAAAAATTTGGTTTCCCCCGACCCTACTTAATACGACGTACTTCGGTAATTTCGTAAATTTTTACTATTTAATAAAACAAATAAATCAGTGGCGCTACAACCTCTTTAGGTCTTGGCCTCAGATTATTGAATCTGCTTCATGATGATTTTTAAATCTAATAGGGAAGTTGGTGATCAGCCTCCAGGGCCTGACACACGCCGTCGACTTTTTTGGGTCTATGACATGTGGATTTCCTCACGATGTTTTCCTTCACCGTTCGAGCAAATGTTAAATGCGCACATAGAAAGAAAGTCCATTGGTGCACAGCAGGGGATCGAACCTACGACCTCAGGTATGAGGGACGCACGCTGAAGCCAACACTGCTCTTAAATTTATTTATTTATTTATTTATTTAGTTAATAAGCTTATAACATCACACACAGTACTAAAATTACTAATTATTTTACAAAAAATCTCGCATCTAAAATGTGTGACAATTAATGTAAGCATAAGTTTCACAAAAAAAAAAAAATAGAAATAAAAATTACAATTAAAACATATACGATAGTAAAAGCACACAATAAAATAAAAAAAAATACAGAAATTTGTTGGCACTTAGTGCAGAAAAAAAAGAAAAATCATCATCAAAACAGCGAAATTAGGTTTGAGAAAGGCAACCCACAATGCTTTCTCTAAAACCGATCAGCCCACTACCGAATATATCCAGCTCTGTATACACTGTGTTCAATTTATACTATTTACTTTAACTTAAGTGGAACAAATTTTTAGGAATAAATATTTAAATAAACTTACAATTAGGCAACTTATCCGCCATCCACTGGAACAAGGAAGCTCTGAGCACTGGAGATCCGTTTTTCAAAGCATCGAATACCATTTCGCCATCAAAGGCGACCGCGTACCCGGCTTGTCCGCACCAAACGTCCACGCACGATATCGCGGACGTACGAATCCATTGCTTGCTATCACCGAAAGCTGAAAATAATTTATAATCATTTTAGTTAAAGAATTTTTTTATCAAAACATGATCATTGTTAATCTCTCTCTTTCTAATACAATTTAACAATTGAATCTTTCGTTGTAGTTTTCAAAACAAATCCCTTTGGACGAAGGAATAAACAAATATAAACATTGTAGGGAAACCACCTAATAAATCTCCAAGTCGATGTAAATTTAGAGGTTCTAAATTCCAGACATCAAGATTGCTTTGAAAGATTTGTTTTTTTTTGCCTTTAGTTTTAGGATAGCGATTACGAAACCAATAAATAATTTAAAACTTGTTTTAGTTAAATGTATATCTACGTATAATGTATTCAGAATTGCCGTTATTTTAATGTAGAATAGAAATTAATGTTATTATTGGGATAAAATAACAGTAAAATTAATCTCACCTTGAAAAAATCCTGGGAAAAAAGTCCTTACGTGCTGTTTGCACTTCGGACCCATAGCTGTTGCAATTAATTCACAAATCTGCAGTGCGCATTGGGCCAGCTTCGAATTGGAGTCCAATAACCTCGCATTGAGGGCTGAAGGCAATTCTCCCAAACTTGGCTTGATAGGTGATGAATTCGAGATTATTGCCTTTAATTTGTCTAGGGCTTCGTTCCGAACCTAGAAAAATTTGGATTATATGATATTTCATACCAAAAAAAGCATTTGTACTGGTATTAATTTCTTGACACATTCATATGAAGGATGCATTGGTTTAGTTCCATTAATAAAGAGTTATATTATGTATACTCTGATTTTTAATTCCGTAGAATTCTGACAGCTATCATTTTTTGACATGTCAGTGATGGCAAACCTTTTTGGCCAGGCCCATTTATAAATTTTAATACGACTCTGAACATCTGTGTCTATGCATACATTTTATTTGTTAGTGAATTTATCAATTTTATTAAGTGTAGTGCCCCACATTAAAAGTGGTTTAACGGCGAGTGGTAATTAAGTTTCTTTTCACAAACAGTAAAAAACACAGAAGTAAAGATAACATTTTTTTTAAGTTTTACTAAACCTGGAATTAGTAGGCAGTGCAGTTTTATTGCCCTTAAATAAGTCAAATTTGTCCTTTTTTAGTAGCAACACTTATGACATGTCAGAATTCTACGGAATTAAAAATCAGAGTATAATAACTTAATTATTAGAAGTATTGTTCGTATGAAGGGTATGGAAGGGACTGTCCCGTCGCGTAAGTTCATATGAAAACACAATTTCTACTTTTTAAATTATTGTGAAAAGACTTACCTTCCAATTCTTATCAGCAATTTCTGCCACCAGCGCATCAGTGATGAGTGGTGCTAGGTCTGTCCTAGCACGCGTGTCCTCTACTACAGGGGGTTCATCTTCCGTCGCGTCTTCATATGTCTCACCCCAATCGTCACCCATTGACCCTTTGCTTGCGGACTGCAAATTACAAAAATTTAAATATTAATCATTTGTAGATTTAAATTTCTTTGTGTCCGTCTCATTTATTTATATTAAAATTAATGTTTTATATTTAATATTCTATTTCGCAATGCCTCTGCGCCTATATTTGAGCCACAGTTTTTATCTAAAAGAGATAAATTATCATCATTGAATATTCACCCAATTTAACTTAAATCATTACCTGTAAACTAAGAGTAAGATTCAGAAAAGAGACTTAGCTCACAGGACATAGACAATAGATTTTTGACGAACAGAAGTAAGATTGGAAGATTGTTCGTAGAAAATCTACTGGATTTCGTATATCAAATACAAGGGCAAACGCCAGGAGGCTCACTTGATGATACCGCCGCCCATGGGCACTCTCAATGCCGGAGGGCTCGCGTATTCGTACCCGGAAATATTATTTATATATATATATAGTATATTTTGGGTAGCTGGTTCCACATAGTGGCGGCAAAAACTGCCTTAAAATCGCTCAGTTGGAAGAACGACGGACGCCGAGGTGCTACGGTGCTCCGACGATGAAACTCAGCAGCAGGTTAATCCGAACAACTGTAAACACTCTCTATGGTAAATGCGAAAGAAGATGCAGAGTGACCCCACATCTCTACGCAACGCCAAGAGAAGCCGTTCGAAAAGGGATGTGTCATCGACGATTCGAACTAGGTCTCGTTTCTGAATATCACCCTAAGAGTGCTTACCTTACTGACTTGTCCGACCTGCCTCGTGGGCGTCTGGGGTGTACTATTTGCGTATTTGTCGATCTCCAAACTGATTAGCTGCTTTGTGGCGGGTTTCTCACTATCGAAGTGGTTAAGCAGTGATGGCCCCACATACAACGACAAAACTCCGAGGAAGTTAACTGTGGATGTCCTAACATTGGGATTGGTAGCCGATAGCGCCTTCTTGCTGTGGGCTATTATGGATTTTATGTTCATTCTGAAAATGGGGTTTAAATAATTATTATTTAATTTCAGATATCAAGTGTAATTAAACAAATGCTACAGTTTAAAATAATAATAATAAATCCTTTATTTGCCAAGATAGTGGTACAATTAGATCGAACAACAAGAAAAATCCGCACAATCAGCCATATATAAATAGGCATGCAAATGTCATATAAATTTTTTGCAATGTCACATAATAAGAACATTAACATAATGTCATAAGAAGTTAAGTCATTTATAATTGTATTGTCTTTGATTAACATAACCTTTACACATTTAAAGAAAAACGCTTTTTACCGGATTAAAGTTATGTTTATTCGGTGTCACGGTGACCGTCACCGTGACCACGCACGCTGTAAAGCACGCGAAACGTCGGATAAATTTAAAATTATGTCAAATAGTTGTAAATTTATAATAATAAACATAACTTTAATCCGGTAAAAAAAGTTTTTCTTTAAATCATTTATAATTGTTAATCTTATGGTCTAAATACTCGCTCACGCTACCCTCCCTCTGAAAACATTATATAGCAGCGATCTATAACTTCGAGGAAGGTGATTAAATATTCTTATAGCCATGGCGTAATAATTTTTGGAATATAATGCGGTGCAACATGCAGGCACCCGCAGCCGTATAATAAATAAAATAAAAATTATATCTCTACAGCCTACAGTAAAATTACTAAATCCTTTTTTTTACAGTACACATGCACCCTTTTCTTGTTATCTTTAATACATACCATTGTTATAATCAGGGAGTTTTCAAAAATAGTATTTTTATATGAGAGCAATTGTATACATACATCGTTATTTACTTAATGAAACATGTATCAAATGATTATATCTACTATATATTTATCAATTTACTAAAAATATGAAGCATATATGTACAGAATACTTACGAAAAACCAAACTCCTTAATAGCATTAGTCATCCAATTGAACATCTCTGACTGGACTTTGGGATTCTTCTGCGAGTCCATAGCGAAGCCCAAACCCTCATTTACAACGTGTTCTAGACCACAGCCATCAGCTAACAAGGTCAAGCAATCAGCTGATATAGCTGAACAGGATGCTTCACCCAGTTTAGTCACAACGTCTAAGAGTACCGCGTCTGCGGCTATCCTAATGAATAAAACGAGCAATTAAAAGGGTTTACTAGAAATTTAATGACACTGTTTTGAAGGTTAGTTAAAAAAGTCAGAAGTCAAAATCATTTATTCATATAGGTTACACAATGTACACGTCTTATGAACGTCAAAAAAGAAATATACATTAAAAGCTTCTAATTTTACATTTAATGCCAGTACTCAAATCAAGGGCGTAGAACGGAAGAGAAGAACTGGTAATAAACTGTGTGTGTACTTTTATGTTATGATGTTTAATATTATTACGGTAGAGGTATTTTTTTAATGATACGAAAGTATACACCCATATACATAAAAACAGAGTAATAGAATCATTTAGATTTGTAGATTTAAAATTTGTTTACTCGAATTAGATTGTTTTTTTAAATTTTTTATTGTAAATTTTTCAAAAATATTTTTTTATTTATTAATAATAATATTTTTCAATAATACTAGTGAGTGTAAAGAGAGTGACACCGTGGGAAAGCATGGGTGAGAACGGCCACATATGCGATGGGATCTCATTTACACCAACATGATGGGAAATTTATAGTGGCGCGTCGCGCTTAAAGAAAGCGAATGGAGAAGAGTGGAGGAGGCCTTTTCCAACTTGGCAATGAGATGAGCAGCTGGTGCTAGATATAATATAATTACAATCAGGCCTTACTTTTTGAAGTGAAACTTCTTTATCGGCGTTGGAAAAAAAAATTACCGTCACATTTTTACGTTACGCGCCATCTTTTTCTTGTCCCTACCACGGTTTTTTTTTTTTTTATAGAACGGGGGGCAAACGGGCAGGAGGCTCACCTGATGTTAAGTGATACCGCTGCCCATGGACACTCTCAATGCCAGAGGGCTCGCGAGTGCGTTGCCGGCCTTTTAAGAATTGGTACGCTCTTTTCTTGAAGGATTGATTCGAAGAGATTCGAGACCATTAATAACAAAAAATATATAATAACGATAACAATGATAGCAATAGTTATATTACAATTAAAGAAAATCTGTAATAATCTTAGTAGTAATAAGGTAAAATGAAATAATTGTATTATTTGTATTCATGTCTATGATAATAAAAGCCTTTTTTTTTGTTAAACTGTATCTAAGTTAACTTTATTTAACCAATTTCTGTAAAGTTGCATATTATAGTAGATAATTTTTCGGAAAATAAGGTCCTAAAGAAGTTTCACTTCTTACGTGTGTACTCGCACACATTTTTTTTTTTATATAACAGGGGGCAAACGGACAGGAGGCTCGCGAGTGCGTTGCCGGCCTTTTATATACTCTTTATATTATTCACATTTTTTATATATTCTATTGTTCGAATTAAAGGCTTTTTATTATAAACACTAGCGAGTATATAGGTACACTCTTTAGAAAGGAAACTATCGGAATTTAACTATACTTACGTAGAGACAGGGAAGTTTTCTGTAACATACTTGCAGGCTTCCAACCTGGCTTTGAGCACTTGCACATTGGTATCCTTAAGGCCTGGCTTCTTATTGAGACTTCGATACAGGACTTGTGCGTTCGTATCTTGTACAGTAAGGCCTTGCATAGTTGAGTGGAAGGATTGGACCGCAGTGAGACGAGTCTTCCAGTTGGCATCTACTAAGCCTGTAAATACAATTTTAAATTATTATTTATTTTACGGAATAATACAATCTAAATCATGGTCAGTGACATTTGAAAACCACTGAGCTTTGTATTAATGTAACAATAACAGGCTTGTCGGGAACGCGATAAATGCATTTAAAAATAATTATATCTAATATAACTATATATGTATTAGATATAATTTATATAATTAAAACCTGTATTTCGTAGATTATTGGAAATAGGAAAACATTTCCTTTTGTTGTATCCCATAAGAATTATGATTATATATCATTAAATTAATTCACACACGCGTTTAATTCACATATCCTTGTGTAAGGGTACAACTACAACATGCTGCTTATATTTTTTGTGATTTGAGCTTAGTATATATATATATATGTATATTAGTTTTTTGTGCAGTGCTGAATATTTTAGATTAGCGATGAAAGACTGGACAGAACTTCTATACGCCAGACTCAGCTTTAATATGTAAAATTGCTAAAATGCAAAAATACTGAGGCGAAGAAAAATTTATTATTTACCGAAATTCTAAACGCTAATTTATTTCATGGCTTCCCAATTTATTAAATAAATATATGAAAGCATTTTATCTAAGGCAGCGTCTCTTATTTAGTCTATTATTTACAGTAGATCCGACCCATAACCTAGTAAATAACGACGCAAATACATTAAAACGTATCACATATCATTTTCTTAAGGAAAGAAGTTCTGGTGGTTATTTGTTAAGGAACGGTTAATCGCTTGTAAGTAGGAAGCCTTTGATGAGCCTAATTAGGGAATATCATATTAAACATGTTTCCATGTAAAGCGCGTAACAAATTACATTATATTAATACGAAACTTTAGATATACAGTGCTTCTAATACACAACATATGCTTACATGAGCTGGCAACCCTTGTATATAATTGCTGTTTAAAATTGACCCATCAGGTATGAAAAAATAAGTAAAATGTTAGTATGAATAAAAATTCCTCCATTTGTACTTCAATCTAGCTAGTTCTTGCCACGGCCCGGGGATAAAGCTTGTCCGGGAGTAGGCTATTAGGAAAAAAAACCTTGTAAACCCCATACATACGGCGTAGGATTTTGACATAAATAAGCCGATTTCCTTACTATGGTTTTGGTCACCAATTAAACAACGAACGTTTCGTTGGAATGTGATGGGTCGAACGTGATTAACCGTACGGATGTTGTACTTAGTGCTACCATACAACATTGTACGAAATTCATAACATTTCTAGTCTAAGTCATGATTTAATTAGTGTAAATATTATTTAAAAATAGAACACTTAATTATAATAAAAATGTATGCACTAGTAATAAGCACTATATATCTGGAGTCAAAAGAAATACGGTGATGTGTACTCTCTTCTTTGGTAAAATAATGAACACAAAGAAAACAGACTGACCCAGCAAAATTTCGCTGAAAACCTGAGTTTTAAGGGATTTCTTAAAAAATGAATTAAAAGTAATTATAGAGCCTTAAAAATACTTGCCAGATAATACATCCGGTGCAAATAACATTTCAGCCTTAGCGTCCACCTCTTCAGGAGACAGTTCTTGCTCTTTAGGCGGAGTTATTTGTGCTTTGCCTGGCGCTTTCTTTGCTACGGGTTTCTTGACTAGAATTAAAAGTATTAATAATTTAGTATGTTTATTTGTCACAATTCATTATTTTGTGCGTCTTACTCTTCTGCTACATTTCTAGTTGAAAAATAATATTAAATGTTTCTAGTTGCGAAATAATATTTAAATGTTTCTAGTTGCAAAATAATATTTAAATGTTTCTAGTTGCAAAATAATATTTAAATGTATCTAGTTGCAAAATAATATTTAAATGTTTCTAGTTGCAAAATTAATATTTAAATATGTCTAATTGCGAAATAATATTTAAAATGTATGATAAATAAAATCGGCTTATTAGACCAGCAATAGAATTTTCATTAAACTTTATAATACGCATTTTACTTTGCTGTTACTTAAAAAAATATTAATAGTGTATACATAAAGACTATACCAGATTGCGGTCGTTTCACAGGTTTAGGCTGTGATGATCCGGCGGTCGATTTGGCGTCACCTTTTCCGGCTACTGCTGTTTTAGGCTTCACATCCTTTTTGGGGGCAGCTACCTTCACTTTTATCTCGGCCTGCACCAAAAAACAGTTGTGACAAATATTTTTCTGCATACCCTATATTTAAATTAAATGCCGAGATTACAATGGAACATAACTTTAGCTCCATTTTGCAAGATTTGAGATTCCTATCCTACCTTTACCTAGAACTACTAGCCCTTTCCTTCATATTTTTGTCTCTTTCTCTCAATTAGTTTCCATGCTATAGTTAAAAGAGAAAGGACTGCTAGAAATGAACCATATATACATAAAAGGACATTGGTTCCGATCTTAATAAAACCAGAAGGATCAACGAATGAGATTCGTATTTGTACCGTTATTTTTATAAAGGTCCTTGACTCTTTCTGACAAATCCTATTCACGCTGTTATGGAAAGAGACAGAACTATGTTTTGAAATCTATAAATATTTAACTCTAACCAAATTTTCATATTAAATGCAGTGTAAACTCTTTATAACGTCATTCGTTATAACGTAATAATAAGTTTTTTTATTAGGTTTAACCCAGTACCCATACATAAATCATCTTTCCCTACTACGGAACCTCTGTATAACGATAAAAATGCTCGGTCGCTTAAAATTCGTTATAAAGAGTATACACTGTAGTAAAAAACCTTGCACTGACTGTGATGAGTAACTCGTGCGATATCATGGTATCACTAATTTTCTATAATGCAATAAACATTATCAAGTACACCAATATTATATTATCAATAACTTAAAATAATATAAAATATTTAGTATAAACTCAAGGCTAGAGAACTTCTACACACCTTATCAGCGAATTCTTTAATTTTCTGCTCTTTCAAATTGTCCAGTTTCCCGATATGTGGAGCAATGTTCTTCTCACCCACAAGCTTAGTCGCCGTACCTAATGCTTCTGAGGCGGCATCTCTAACTGCCGGATCTAGAAAAATCATTTTTTTTTGTAATTCAAAATTGCTTGGCCTTAAAAAAAAGGTATTGGACAACCTGCAGTGTTATTATTCCTCGGCTCTATAAATTTAACATAGTTAATTTGCTTTATCTTAATATATTATACATAAATTACGTGTCACGTTGTTTGTCCGCTATGGACTCCTAAACTACCGAACCGATATCAATCAAATTTGCACACCGGGTGTAGTTTGATCCAACTTAAAAGATAGGATAGCTTACATCTCAATTTATACCCGCAATATGATTTTATTGCAAAATATTTGTTTATTATTTGATAGTCACAATTCTAACAGATGGCGCTGTGTTGAAAGTACCAACGTTTCACATAAGCTACAATTTAATGGCATAACCACCACAAAAGCATGGTTGTCCCCATGACTGGTGTTCTCCTACCGTTTCCCTTGAATAGTTTGCTACTATGTAATATAACAAAAACCTTAGCCACAACAACGCTTGGCCGGTCTGCTAGTATAGTATAAAATTTTTTATTGCTCTTTGTTTGTTACACAGCTCTAAGTGGCTTTTGGTGTTATTTTACTCAATATTTATTTATAATATTTAAGCAATAATAAAAAAATCTACATACATATATATTGACACTTGCGTAAATGTATTTCATATATACGGCTATTAAAATTAATAAAAATGCTTGTTTATTCATCTTGACTAATTCATATTAAAATAACTATGTTATATTTGTATTAAGACAAGTTCAGTAAGAAGTTTATACATTGACGCAAAAGAAACATGATCCTCTTATAACAATGGGATTATTGTTTTCTTCAGTACAAACATAGATTAGGTATAAAATAATTACATTAAAAGCTTTTTACGGCACAACATCGCAGTTAACATAATTACTGTATAAAAATAAACAAATTCTTAATCAAAAATTATGATATATATGGACATTATGAGAAAGCAAAAAAAAGTTTAAAAACAGAAATAGGTTCATCGAATTATAAAATGCAGTATGGATTACATAAACAAAATTAATTAATTAATCTTATGCAAATACATAAAGTTGTTGCTAAATTCTGACCCTACTCAGTTCTAAAATATGTTTTTTATAGAAGCATGATATTAATACTGCTATTTTATTAACATATTATTAATGCTAAAATAATTATACTTTGGCATGTAATTAGTTTAAAACAAACTTATCAAATCAATTATAAATATTTTTGCGAGAATTAAAGTTACGAAGCAAAATGTTGTTGAGAGACTTATCTGTAATAAAAAGCGCAAGGGAGTACAATAACTTGTGGAGAAGCATTTATTTATCAAAAAAGAAAAACGATAATAAAAATTAAGATTTTTATACATCAATCACGTGACAGAGAACAGGTTAGTAGAACCGACGATAAGGTAGCTGCTCACTTTTCGCCTATCTAATCCTAAATCTTTGGGTTAAATTTTGTCGGAAGCTGTTAACAATAACAATAACGGTGTAACAATAATAAACACCTTTATCTTTGAACGTGTTACTGGCATGGTTATTCACGCCATCTTGCTTAGAGAAGCTTTTGGTTCTTGAAATTATGATTGACGGAAATTTCAAAGCCAATAATTAATTATATAATTGTACACGGGTAACACTGAAAATGTTTAGAAAATGAAAAACGGCTTAATGCTTTTATTGTTTTTCGAAGTAATCTCCGTTCCTCTCTACACATTGTTGCATTCGATGGAACCACTGAGAAAGGCAGTGGGCCCATTCTTCCTTAGGGGTCTCTTCTATGGCATTTTCGTATGCGTTCACCGCATCTTCAGGGCTCGTAAAGCGATTGTCTTTTGGTTACGGGTTCGTAGCAATATATCCAGCTTTCATCACCTGTGATGATGTCAAATACAGCATTTGAGTCACCGCCGTTAAACTTATCGAACATTTGGTGACATCAGTCCATGCGAAGGTGTTTCTGGTCGTCGGTTGAAGTATGGGGAATCCATCTGGTACAAAGCTTCCTGACGCCTAAATGTTTGTATCAATATTTTTTGAACTTAACTCATACCAAAGCCTAGGCTTGCCCGTATCAGCCGATAAGTCACTCTCTTCTCTTCCTCTATCATGCGTCGAACAGCACTGATGTTATCTTCAGTAGTCGCTGTTAAAGGACATCCCTCACACGGTTCATCATTGAGATTGCCACGTCCTCGCTTTAACTCGTTAAACCAATTGAAAATAGTGGCACGAGATGGGGCTTCATTAAAAAATGCTAATCGCAGCCTATCATCATAGCTTTGTTGTTGAGTAAGCCCACAACGAAAGTCATAATAAATCATTGACCGAAAATTTTCTCGCGTTAGGTTCATTTTCACGTGTAACAAGAGATAGATATGATTTGCCGCCAATTCACAAAAACAAATGACTGCAATATACTTTAGGTTACCAAAGAGTTCTAAAATTGAAATTCAAAAAGTTTACAGTAGCAATGTTTCTAACTTGCCCGTTCTAAACATTTTCAGTGGTACCCACATATACCCTCAATAGTATTGAGACAAAGGTTTTAAAATCTTATAAAATTTGCCAGAAAATTTTCAATTAATATAATCTATCTCTGTTTAATATATCATTAGATGAAAAACAGCCCTTACCAGCACTTTCCAATAGCTTCAGCAAGCTCGCGACGTACGCCTTCATTAGTTTCTTGTTGAAAGCGGCTGGTTGCGTGTGACACAGCGCTCGAGCCAGGAAAGTAGCGCTTTCTGCTTTGATAGATGGGTTCTTGTTATCAAACGCAGCGAGCATATCTTCCATTATTACTTCGAGGTTTGTCTAAATTAAACACAAAATATTTGTTACATTTACACAGCTAAGGAATTATTAATTAAAAATTTATTTTTACAACATACATTGACATTAGGAATGAGAGTTTCAATACAAGATTTGATTTAAACATTAATTGGCTATAAAATTTTGGAGCCGGTACAAAGAAAAGAGACAGACGAAAATGCGTACCAAGCGTTGTATTGTCCTGTAAAAACATTGTAACCATGGTAACACACAAACAATCATTATTCCGTTGCCGTTCCATGTAAAATTAATAATATAAAAGTACATACATGTTATACAGGATTTATTTAAATAAGTCGATTTTAATTAACAGACTTTGGCATCAACTACCTGTTATGTAAAAATGTTTGTGTGCTTAGTTATTGTATGATGTGTATAAATGTTTAAATGTTTCTGTTATGTATAAATGTTTGTGTGCTTAGTTATTGTATGATGTGTATAAATGTTTCTGTTATGTATAAATGTTTGTGTGCTTAGTTATTGTATGATGTGTATAAATGTTTAAATGTTTCTGTTATGTATAAATGTTTGTGTGCTTAGTTATTGTATGATGTGTATAAATGTTTCTGTTATGTATAAATGTTTGTGTTCTTAGTTAAATATATGTCGTAATATTGTTTGACGTCCTGGTAGGCAAAAATGTTTGTAGTGCTTGAGCGAATGCATAATGTGTATAAATTATAAAGTATCTGTTATGTATAAAATGTTTGTGTGCTTTGTTACTGTAGATGTGTATAAATGTATAAATGTTTCTGTTATGTAAAAATGTTTGTGTACTAAGCTATTGTAGATGTGTATAAATGTTTAAATGTTTCTATACGTTAAATGTTTGTGTGCTTTACACGTTATGGTATGATGACTGAAGATAAATGATGCTGTTATGTATAAATGTATGTGTGCTTAGTTTTGATGATGTGTATAAATGTTTAAATGTTTCTGTTATGTATAAAGTTTGTGTGCTTAGTTATGGTATGACTAAAAGTATAGATGTTTGTTTTGTATAAATGGCTTTGTTTGAAAAGTTACTAGTATCAGTACATAAATGTTTCAATTGTCAAATGTTTGTGTACTTGTAATTGACACACACCTGATAGTAGTATAAACGTCACTGTCATAAATGTTTCTGTCGAAACAAAATTTGGATAAACAAAGCATTGAGGTATTAAATATGGTATAAATGTTTAAACGTTTCTGAAAATGTATAAACGAAGAATTTGTGTGCTTAGTTACGTAGAGGAATGTATATTAAAAATCGATACCAAGGTGAGGCTGAAACCTACGTGCTAAGATATCTCGTGCATACTGTGTAAGCAAACTGCCAAAATGAAATCTCACCTGTCTATGAAATAAAGGTTTGTGTGCTTAGCTTAAGGCGAACGATGTGTAGTAAATGTCTCTGTTCTGTACAAAGGTTCGCAACCGTTGTTATGGATACGTCGGAATGTGTACAAATGTCTCTGTTATGTTAAATGTTTATGTGAATAGTTATTGAAAAAAGTGGATAAATATCTTAATGTAATGAACAAACATCTTGTCTGCTTAGTAAAATATTCTGAAAGACTGTGTTTAAACGTTAATTCTTTATGTACAACATGTTCGTGCGTAAAACCTCAGTAATTGTATGGATGTGCCAAAAATGTTTCACTAACAGAACAAATGTTTGAGTCCCTTAGTTATTGTCATGATGTCTATAAATGTTACTATTATGTATAAATGTTTGTGTCAATAGTTATTCCGTATGAGTGTATAAATGTTTAAATGTCTCTGTTAAGCTATCTACAATTTTGTGTGCATTGAGAGTTCTTGTATGATGTCTATAAATGTTAAACCATGGTGAGCTTTGACATTGAGTTACTATATAAAAGCTTACCACTAAGTGACTAGCCTATTGATATCATGTGTATAAATGTTTCTTATGTATAACAGAACATGTGACCAGTTATTGTATGATGTGTGAAAAAACTGTCTCATCATAAGGATACTTAATGTGGAAAGATGAGTTCTATGTGTAGGTTGATGGTGTAGAAATGGGTTCTCAAGTGTTTCCTATATGTCTAAATGTTCTGGAGTGCTTAGTTATAGTATGCCAATGCCCTGTATAAATGTTCCTGTTACTGTACAAATGTATATGTCGCTGAGAGTTGTTGTACTCCCCAATGTGAAAAAATCTGCATTTCTAGTCATGTATAAATGTTAGTACACAAGTACATTAGTAATTGTACTGATGTGCAACAAATGTTCAACCGTCTGCTTTTACATTAAATGTTTGTGTGCTTCAGTCACCGTGACCCCACCTGTAAAGCAACGAAACGTGGATAAATTTAAAATTTGGTCTTAGTTGTAAATATAATAATCATAGCTTGACGTCCTGGTAGACAAAAAAGTCTTTTAGTTTGAATAAAAGTACGAATCCATAATTATTAATAATAAAATATCTTTACATAACAATAATATTCTAAACTAAACACAAAACAGCAGAGGTAAAAATGTGATGAAATCGTTTTACAAACTATTTATATACCTATATATATTTAAAAATAATAAGTATTTATTTAAGTTTCTTCTAGGATTTCAAATTCATAGATAAATTTAATATAGTGCCTTATTGATACTTAGTATAAGCCATGACATATTTGATGCTATTTTATTATAGAATATCATGAATAATTTATATTACTTCATCAACATTTAATTACTACAAGGTAGGATAAAGAGGATTGAACTTACAGCAGGATAAATAGCATCAATGGCATCTCGTAATGCGGCAACAACATTTGGTTTCCTCTCTTTGAATTTTTCTAACAGAGCTTGAATGCAGGACGATGCGTACGGCTGGAACTTGTTCCGTAGACCTGAAGCCACCGCACCTAGGAGACGAGTTCCCAGAGCTACTAGCATCACGTTGGTGTCTTTGGAAACCACCTGGAGATAAACAATGATTTCATAAAATAATTATTCATAAAATTCGTCGAAGCCGTGGCGTATTGTTAACACACGTGATATATTCAGCATTCGATACCTGGCGTAACAATAATCGTTTCTAAATCTCTTGTAGAAACACAACAGACTCATAAACCAACTAAAACTAAAAAGATTGTTCATTCTTATTCTTCTCTTACTATAAAGGTAACTTAGGTCACAGAAAGAAAATCCTATTTGGGCATAGATGATGTAGGTACGTTTTATTACTACTACAAACATTTATATTATAAAAACATATATTCTTACCACCTTTAGTATGAAAATATGGTCGACAGCCACAGAACATTATCGCCATTTTATCGTTCGTAAGGAGTAAACTCCAATCGTGCGTCGTAGCTGACACACACACACTTTTTTTTTACACAACGTTTGTAAGGAGTTATATGGTGTAATGGTTGCACCATTACACCATGTTCCACATGACATCTTAAGTAATTAATAATAATAAAATAAATTAAAAACAAAGATTTGTCCACTTTCAGCAGGAGGCATGTTGAAATAGGAGCACGCACTTACATTCTCGTGGGAACAACACGCAAATACATAGTCGTAATAGCTAATAGCCATAAGGGCCTGTAAAACATATTCTAAAACCCAAAAGTAATTTTATGAAAGAAAAAAATATATAAAAAATATATACCTTTTTCAACGCACGAACCAAGTCAGCATAATCTCCTGGCTCCAATTTCGGTGCATTCTTCAAAAGATTATCCAAGGCATCCAACGCTTCTTTTCTTTCCTGCCATTTCTTCGCATCCAGTTTATCATAAAAGTCCTTTGGTAATTTTGATATTATTTCCACTGGGTCCATTAAATCGTATGGGTCCATGTCCCCTGAGTCACCGCAACCGGTTTCTGCGTCATCATCTTCCGCTGCACCTATAAATATTATTTTTATTGATTTATAGTATTGTCTTTTATTAACATAACTTTTACTCATTTAAAGAAAACACTTTTTTAACGGATAGAAGCCGCATTCACCGCACGCTGTAAAGCACGCGAAACGTCGGAAAAATTGAAAATTATGTTAAATAATTGTAAATTTATAATAATACATAGCTTCAATCCGTTAAAAAAGTGTTTTCTTTATTGATTTAAAAAGGCAGAATATTTCGACCGTTTAATAAATTGGGCGAATCGTGAATTATTTCGAAATGTTTAGGTAAACTGTACATGCTATTTATAATAATAATAAGTCTGTTCTGTACTGAGTCAGGAACTGATCTCAGATCCTCCACCCATAAAGTACAGTTGTAGAGGCGTTAAGGAAATAATCGTACCATCTGGTGCATCAGCAGCGGGGGTGTCTCGTACTCTGTGCTGCTGAGACCGAAGATATCTCGTGGGTTGAGCCCCACCCCCAGTTCCAGAAAAGGCCTCTTTCAGCTCTTGTTGTACAACCGCTTGTAGTGATGCTATGTGGGGTTCAATTGCTGGCCCGATCCACCTAAGAAATTAGGTTTATTTTAGCTACCAAGGTTTGAGGTATATATGTCACCGGAATATAACAAAATCCGCAAGTTTATAAATTAATTTTAAAGTTAAAATAATACAATTTATCTCTTGTTTAGAATACCACGAAATTTTCTAGGAAGTTTATAAACTTGCTGATTTTGTTATATTCCAGTGACATATGCAAAAATAAATCTGTGGTAAAGTATGAAATTTCCGATTTTAACTAATAGTACTTTGAATTGACATACAACTTTATAGTAGATATTAAGTGAAACGTTTATTACGTTATTCTTTTAAAAAATATGCAGCTTTTGAAGATAACATTTGAATGCAGGTTCCGATGCGGAAGTAGGCGAGAATGACCGAGTACGAAATAACGTTATACAAATGGATTGCAATATTAGACCTGCGTTCGGACTGTTACTAAACGCACAGCGTGTTTTTAGATGAACCATCGGAATACCACCTGGACCGGAATACACAGGCAAATAACGCTGCTGAGATGGTGGGGGCAAAAGGAAGAATGAAACGCTTGTTAGAATTGTATAGTAATTGAGCAACACTCAATTTAATTGTGCATGTGAGTTGATTTTTACGATAATTGTAAGATAAAAATGCAACAATGAAAATGCAACTCCTGTTGTTATCCCACATTAAAACGATGCAAACGACGCAGAAATAAGTAAAATTTTATGGAAATTTAATTATATTCGTTATTTACCATACATTCATAGTTTTAATATAAACAATTGTCTGCTTACCAACGAAAGGTTTTAATGTATTCACACTAATAAACATCATACCTGTGCATCTCCACAACCAACGCCTTCATTTCATCTCTCACTCCTTTATCTCGATCAGCTAACAATACTGGTATTTTCTTAACCATTGGCTTAATTGCAATCACTTTATTGCCAAATTGTTTAAGGGCGGAATTTAAGGCTGAAACACAAGCAGCAACCACCTTCGGATTCTTCTGTTCCATACCTTTTATTAATTCCTCTTCTACGCTCTCATGTTTTTCTATTTCTACATACATCAAAGTTATCTGTAAAAAAACATATGTACCAATTGAGAGCTTTGTAGTAGATCCGGCTGCAGGATTAGTGCGTTCATCGGTTATTTGCTAAAAACCAAATTTTGATGTATATGTTTAGGAGAATATTTTTAATAGATTTTTGGGAAAACATTTCATTCACTTGTTATTGTTAAAATAACAGTCGCCGTTGCACACCAGGTATGATTTCGATACGTTTATAACGTACTATTACTATCTATCTATTACTTATACTATTTATCAATAAATCAAATTGATCAAATTGAAGCTAATTTTTTTCTATTAACTATCATATATGGGTGCCTAATTAAATCTGGCCGCAAATAGGGGTTGCTGGCTGTTAAAGATGATAAATATTTAAGGTAGAGTGAAAGAGAGTTAACGCGTAACATCATTTGTCAGACGAGGATAGCGATTGTCGTCTGCGCGACGCTTTTAAGCCAATGCGCATGCGTCGAATGCCAGTGTTTTTGGCTCTTAGCAAATAACCGAGTATGAAAATAAAATCATAAAAACAAAGATTTATTTCTTATATATAATAAAAACTGGTGCATACATACTTGTAAGGCAAGATCTTTTGTTTTTGTTCTAGGTGCGGCAATACATTTAGTCACAATTCCTGACATAACCTCGCCAGATGTTTTACCGGCAAAGCCACAATTTTCAACAAATACTAATGCTGCTTCCAGACCTATAACAAAAATATATTTCTAGTTAAGAAAACTAAACAAAAATGTCAGATATAAATTTCTTAGACATTTAGACATTCTTTAGACTTAGACAATTATGTATTATATCAATGCTAAAAGACAAAGGATATTGTTCTATTTAAATAGTAATTGGTTGGTAACAGGAAGTAATAAGTAGACAATAGCTTTTGCTAAATGACTTTAATAGATCTTCAAATAATTCATATTGTCTTAATGCAAATTAGGGGATTTGAAAATTTATGAAGAACACTGAAAACTTATTAAATTGTAATCTAATTCAGCTACTGATTTTATTTACACTATGCAACAAAGTTCTAATAATTTTGATTTAACTTTGCGATCTCTTGTACATAGGTTACCACCATCTAGTTATAGATTATTTTAGTCTGTAAATAATGTAATAAGCTAAAATACTTAATTGTTAATAATTAAAGCATTTTTAGACATACTACGAAAAGATCATATTGCTAATTTACTATACCTTTTTCTTGTGCAACAGCATTACTGTCAGTAACAAATTTCTTTATGAGACCTAAGTATTTATTCCACTCGGGTGACTTCTCATCATCAATTTGATTAAAAAGCTTATTAGCTTCCTCGTAACCAGCCACTCTGGCTTTCCACAGCTTGTGGACACATTTATCTTCTGTTGGTAATTTCTTATACTCGCTTTCATCTTCCATTTTTGTATCTTCAGTCTGCTTGTGAACTTAAAACTGAAAGTGTTGATTTAATAACAATAAGGGTATTGTTACAATGTAAATTCTTACACAATTTGTGAAAGGAATAATTCAATGAGTTATGTAATATTTTAAAGCTACATGTGAAAATTTTCTAAATGTATACAAATTTCAGTTCAGAGTAGTGTTGTCGTTGTGACTTGAACATGCTCTGAACAAATTGCGGCTGTATCAGAGTATATAACTGGAGTTGTGGGGCTGCTGGTTCTTATTAAATACAAAATAAATTACTACCATTGTAAATTATTCTTAATCATAAAACTATCTTATTGAACTAAAGTACTTTTTCTTTCATATTATGTTTACAATGTATGTATTGAAAACATTAGGTTAACAAGTTCAACGATTAATTTCTTTTATGAAAAAGAGTATATAAGTTTTTGTGATCTAAGATTGATTGCAGTCAAACTATAATGATCCCAGTTATTGAATAAGATTGAGATTTGGAAGTAATTTTATGTTTTGTTCAATAAAGGTCTAAATTAAAAAAATATATATTTAATTGGCTTTTATAGGAATTTGGTAATAAAATTACACAATTTTTTCTGAAAAGAACTTCTAAATAAACATTAATGCCATTTAAAAAAATATATCCATAAATATTTTTGCACAGATTTAAAAGGACATTAAGGAAGAAAGCTTTATAAGGACAGTTGTTAGCCATGAGTACAATTTTGTTTACAACATGCATAAATGACCTTTTGTTGCATCTCAAACAAGGTCAAGGATTGCAATTTGCAGTGCTTAATGCAGTTAAATATGCTTAAACATATAATTTTAATAATCCAGTGTATCTTTTTTAATATCTTTAAAATAATATAATTTTGAGAAATATCTCATAGATGATTCAAAACCTATTGTTTTGCGTGTTACTGCAATAAACTGTAAAGTGTTTTACGCTTTCTAGTTTCTTCCCACCGCAGGAGTTATAAATTTTAATAGCTTAGAAACTTTAAGGCAAAATATATGATTATCAGAATGTGAAACGGCTGATTAGCTTATGCAGAAATGCAGACATGCATTGCGGACGAATTGATGATTCAACACACTCGTTTTATTATTCCTTAGATCAATTATGCCACCACTTAGTGATAAATTTCAAACTGACAAATAAAGCAAATGTAAAACTGGATCTTGTAAATACTGTTCATACGCCAGAGAACGGTTACTTTCTAGCCATAATACAAACAAAATGTCCTATATGTAAAAAAAAACTTACCGTTATACGAATGCTTTGAACGAAGTAACAGAAATTAAAATTACACACACGAATTTAAATTGTATCACATTCTTAACTGCGGATAAATCAAATTTACATCGAGAATTTATGGTCAATTCGATGTCGTTTATTCAAGTTCGCAAATTGTTAATTTTAATTTGTAGAAAATGGACGAAGTGACGTATGTAACAAAAGTGTTACCACTTTTCCTTTTTACAATTAACCAAGTAATAACAAATGTCATGCGTAGACTACGAAGATGTTCTGGCTGTATGGACTAAAGTCCTTTGCTTTTCCCATTTGGGATACATTAATATCATCATCTACGATGTAATTGAACGACTCATTGGTCTAGTGGTTAGTACCCCTGACTGCAAATCCATGGGTCCCGGGTTCGATCCCCGGCTGAGACGAACATCGATGTGATGAGCATTTGGTGTTGTGCTTAGGTCTTGGGCGTTTAAATATGTATTTATATGTCTATCTATCTATAATATGTATGTATATCCGTTGCCTAGTACCCATAACACAAGCTTCACCAGCTTAGCATGGGACTAGGTCAATTGGTGTGAATTGTCTTAAAAAAAAAAAAAAAAATTTACCGGCTTAAAAAATACGTATATCAATAATATCAATTAAGCGTGTGATTTGTGGTTTTTTTAATCAAACATTAGGGACTATAATATCTTTAGTTATTTTCTTTAGAGTATCTAAACGTTAGGCAACTAAAAGAATTATCTATTTGCAAGATATTGTTCAAAGATGTGAGTAAAAGCCACTACTATTTCACTAACAGACCATAATATACCTAAATCGTGTGGTGTGATCGTGGTGTAATCGTTAATATAATGTGCTTGTGGTGAAATCGTTTTTCGACAGGCGTGACCTACCTACTAACACTATAGGAATTTGTATAAAAATTGTCACTTGACAATGCGTGAGCTACTGTCATTCACATACAAATTTATTGTCATGCCTGTCGAAAAGTAATTTTGTCTCAAACCCCAGATTTACACATAGCATTTAAATATTGTCATACAAAATTTACGTGCTGAATTCTTTTTTGTCGGCTTCTTTCGGTTTTTACTTGGAGTTACCAGATAACATAACTCTTTGATCACTTATGTACCAGTTCATTAATATTACCAATTATATGTTCAGATCGATAAAAAAGAATAAAGTACTGTGTAACTTTTATTATGTATCAAAAATTAATTTTACAAAAAGTTGTAATTTTGTAGCGTGCCTAAACGCTTTAAATAATGCTGTATTGTAATTTTTATACCAATAATTTTGGAAGCTTAATGTTAAATGGTAACTAAGTGTAATAATTCCTTTACTCTTTGGTTTTCTTTATTTGTGTTGAAAAGTTTTCGTTATAAAAAGAGCTTAATGTACAATATATAAGTGTGTTTAATGAATTAAGCTTTCTTCGTAAACGTATAATTTATTTATGGACCGTTTAACTTTTTTTTTTCTCTTATGGCTCTGTCACGGTTTGTGCATTAGCCAGCGTCGACCGTTTAACTTTAGATGTCATTTGATAATTGTCATGTTCTGTCACTGTCATAGTCAACTCGTATCGAATTCGTCGTAATTCCGAATTCGTTTTCATTTTACAAATGTTAAATGGTCGTAAAAGCGTCTGCGTACGAGACGTGTGTCGCGTTGCTTTCGTGACTACTGTGCGTTCGCAGTAATAGTTAATTTTCATTTTCATTACAGAAATAGCGATTTAGACTAAGCTATGTATTAAATCAGTGTATAGATGTAACGTTTCGATGTTAATGTAATGATATAGTGAATTATTATACATAAACAAACAAAAACATTGTGTTTTTTTAATTTTTGGGGTGAGCAAAACGAATTACTTTCGACCGTGTCCGTGAAGGGAAAATTAAACAGCTGTTTGAGCATAGTATGCTTCGTATTGTAAGTATGTTTTGATATTACGCAGCACACTATAACTGAATATCTGAATTACACATTTTATGTCCAGTAAGAGACATCTAAATCTAAATGTTATTTTATACTATAATATCAATTATAGTATACAATAATTAATAATCTTTCTATTATGATTTTCTTAATAACGTAATTATTATTTATCAAACTTAAAATGATACTGGTAAAATTTTATAAGTACTCTGGAAAGTGTTTACACCTATACTAATCTTAAGTAAATAAAAAAAACAGTGCCACAATAATATATTATCTAACTTTATGTTATTACAAGTATCTTAGAAATGTTTATTCTGTAAAAGGAGAAGGAATTGGATCCTACATTCCTTCAAGAACAGACAAATTATTATAATATGCATTATGCAGTATAACTGTTATAAAACTTATAAGACGAATATAAAAAATAAGTTACAGTAAAAAACAATAATTATACATATATTGTATATTATGATTCAAAAGCAATCTCATGTCATGTTAAGCAATTTTAATACATCTAAGACAAATGAGGTACTAACTTGGTACCTATTTCTAATCTTCATACATTAGAATGTTGTTAAGAATTTGTTCTCCTTTTTACAATTATAATTCTATAATATCTGATCAATATGATGATTTCTGTAGCTTTTTGGGTTAAAGTTTAGTTGTAAGGTAAAAGATTAAGCTTTGGTTTGCAAAATAAAGTATAGGTATTAAATTTGGCAGTTTGTTTGATATATGATAATATGATATGTGATATGATAATAGAAATCCTTAATACAAAACTTGTAACTGGGGATCAAAGTATTTTATAGTGACTTACGAAACTGAACCTAAACTGAGTAAGAATTATAGGTTATAAATGTGGATAATTAAGTGTAACCACAACCAAGTAAATTCGACTTCACATACGCTTTTTTTTTTCATACCTAATCCTGATTTTGACGGATTTTTGAAAATTATAAATAGTTACGTATTACATTTTTATAGCGCAATATAAGCTATAGAAAGAAGAGTGACTGATGGTATCTTTTTTATTTTAATTTGTACCCTCGAAATATACTTACGCGCTTAAAATCGTTTGACCGAAGCAACCGTTATTCTTAAGACTTACCGTTTTAAATGGATAATCACGGTGTAAAGTTGTTTGCTAAGCCGTTGATTGTTTGAATTATTTGAGTGTGCATTGAAAACTGAAGGGCTTAAATCGCAATTTTTATTACTTTGAGCATTATCTCTTGATTAATTGCGGTTACCGTATCATTTCAACTAATATTTATTGTAACGAATAACTACGCGCCCCATGCCCGATTCTTAAATAGTGAGTTATATTCTTCACATAACCTACAACTTGATTTCCATTTGTTGCATGATAATATGTGTAAAGTCACATGGATGATACCGTTTAGCTAATTGTAAGATGCAACAAGTAGGTTGTTTTTCGTCCCTACTAAGATTTTTGATAAGATTGAGCGGTAATCGAGTCTTATCTGGTTCCAATGCATCGTGAATCACAAATGTTATTCAACTAAATTCCTATTCACAGACTAGTGTCCTCTGTAGGGGGCCCAGCCCCTAATTATAATAACGTAAAGCGAGACATTCTAGAGTAGTAATTAGATTGAGGTGTTCTCGCAGTTTAAGCCTGCATTTCTCGGGATTCCATGGTCTGATTCAATTATTCGTGCCTAGGGCCTACGTATAAGCATAAATAATATGCATAAGGGTTAATAATATTCTAGAAATTTTATAAATAATTTTAAATTATCAGCAGTAATTTTTAATA